ACTCAATGACAAAGAACTAAAAGGCCTTCATTAATGTGGAAATAGGGGGCCTTGAACTGAAACGTAAATGAAACTCGACCTCACGGCTGTATTCGAGCGGTTCATATGTGGCAAGTTCAAGTGAGGCATCGATCGACAGTCCATAGTCCGGGCCGAATCGCCGACTGTCGGCAATGTCCGTGCAAAACCTGCTACTAGGCTGTAATATGAGTGCCCAGAAGGTAATGATAATGCAACATTTATAGCCATCATAATCTGAAAAAGATTGGCTTAATTTTTCACTAGAAACTAGTAAAAACATCATTTATTTAAGTACATCATTTAAGAATTACATTCAATTGAAGACTACCAGTAGAAGAGTCCATGTTTTCTGTGGCCCTGAAGTTGCGGGGCTGCCAAAAAAAATGTTTTTTTTTTCAAATGCTCAAAAACCCATTCTATACTCTAGATCTGATTTTTAGCTAAAAAGTATGTAACTAGTTCAGAGACCTGATATTTGAGGAAATTGTGACAAAAAAATAATGCCAAGAACTGGGCACCAAAAAAGGACAGTAAAACGAATTGGCTCCCGAAATAACGACTGAAGATTTGAAGACACCATTTCATGACGAATTTCATGACCAATTTGCTTTTGACAGAATTTAACAGGCTGCATTTATGGCTGTGTTAAGCACAGAGAAAGCTCAGATATCATACTTATGCCCGTTTTCACCACCGATGCCTAATTTTTAAGTGACCCCTTTGAAAAAAAATCTGTGGCGTGCGTAGGTATACAGGGTGGAAACGATAAGTGATCTCACTCGATTATTTCTAAACTATACAAGATATCGAAAAACTGCTTACTGATTCTGAAAGTGCTTCGCTAGCTCCATCAAACGGTATCAATAGTAGGTTACAGAATAAACTGGATTAAGAAATTCAATGTTTTCAGCTTCCATACATTTAGAGTACAGTCATACAATGACACAATAATTGAAACTAAGCAAGATATCTAAAAACTGGTTACTGATCCTGAAAGTGAGAGGTATAAAATGATTATTTCGGATAATATAACCTTACTCGTAGTAGAAATAAAGACAAGAAAAATACTGCATATTTATTTCAAAATCAATTAAGAAAGTGATCATATTATTATCAACCTTATAATACCACACACACATGTATTGAAAGTCTTACAGTTGGGATCCTGGTTTGAGCAGAACACCAAGTCCCTTGCCATTGAAAATTCACGCGAGCACACAGACTTCTAAGTATACCACTAGACAAGCTGCTCAGAATTAAAAAAAATATGAAACGACACTCAAATCCAAACTCGAGCATACGAGTAACCCAAGGGTTGCCAATTTTTTACTGTGACGTTCTTGGAAATTCGCAATTTTTTTCAACCATTATCAACTTTGAACCCCTTTTGTGGACATCACGCCTGTGAATCAGATTCTCATAGGGTTAACTGTCACCTTCACGGGCATATCTGCCCCCTAGCTAGACATAGTTATAAACGTGACAGTTATAATTTTTTCCTCGATTGATAGGTAGTTTTTTCTAGGCCCTCTGGCAGTCTTTCTTGCTCGTAATCAACTAAAAGAGTTTTTTTTATTTGGCTTGCAAAACTGGATACAATCCATAAATTCAAGTTGTAGGAAAACACGGTAACTAACTTAGATATTCATTCTTATTAATAATGTAGGGAAAAATACTCGTAAGGGGTCCCATAAATAGTGGCGAAAGACATAAATTATTATTATTGTGGCGAAAAATATGTTAACTCAAAAAGGTAAGAATAAAACACAGTTTAAGTTACTGATTGCTAGCTTTTGCCAACGGCTTCACCTATGCGATTTTCGGTCTGTCCCTGTAAGGCGTTATCGAATACTCCAACATAATTTCCACCACTACGTCTTTCGCTGTAACGTCATTCCACCGCGTTTCAGTTCGGTATCCACAATGAATGTTTTTTGCTAAAACGTACCTATTTCGCTACAGCATCTTTAGGCACTACGTACGGGACCCGTCTAGTAGTCCTGTAAGAACTCTGCCCGAGTAGCGNCACCGACTCCAGAAGTATCAATCATGGTATACCTACATAAATATTAATAATTCGTCCTAATAATAGGTAATTAGTAATTATTTTTCTACGTTTTAGTGTAGGTTTTTTGGAGTCGGTTTTATTTTTTTTATAAAATTTTTCGCTCTACTAATTCGAGTTAATCATTTTTGAGTGAATGCCGAATAGTAATAACTGGCACAAAGTTCACTAAATGAACAAACTCTGCAGCTTAATTGTTGGACATAGATTATCCAATAAGTGGAAAAGATTATGAAAACAGCAGAAACCAGGAAAATGTAATTCATGGATATTGCGATTCTACAGGGTGGAAACGATAAGTGATCTCACTCGATTATTTCTAAACTATAGCCTNAGGTATATCTTGTCTTGACCAGTCCCCGAAGGCAGCGCCTGTTCACAGACATGACGTGTGAACCAGCCATCGCTTCACTCGACCATCTTGTAGGGAATGTAGCGTATATATATAATATAGCGTATTATCAACCTTATAATACCACACACACATGTATTGAAAGTCTTACAGTTGGGATTCTGGTTTGAGCAGAACACCACGTCCCTTGCCATTGAAAATTCACGCGAGCACATAGACTTCTAAGTATACCACTAGACAAGCTGCTCAGAATTAAAAAAAATATGAAACGACATTCAAAGCCTGATTCAAACTCGAGCATACAAGTAATCCAAGGGTTGCCAATTTTTTTTTACTGTGACGCTATTGACCAATCGCTATTTTTTTCAACGATCAATTTTGAACCTCTTTTGTGGACATCACGCCCGTGGATCAGATTCTCATAGGGTTAACTGTCACCTTCACGGGCATATCTGCCTCCTAGCTAGACATAGTTATAAACGTGACAGTTTTAATTTTTTCCTCGATTGATAGGTAGTTTTTTCTAGGCCTTCTGGCAGTCTTTCTTGCTCGTAATCAACTAAAAGAGTTTTTTTTATTTGGCTCGCAAAACTGGATACAATCTATAAATTCAAGTTGTAGGAAAACATGGTAACTAACTTAGATGTTCATTCTTATCAATAATGTAGTGAAAAATACTCGTTTACAGTATACATTTCATGTCTAATGGGGGTCCCGTAAATAGTGGCGAAACACATATAAATACATAATAATATGTGTATATTCATTAAGCTACTTCAAAACTCAAAAAGTTGAAAGTAAAACACACCCCCTTATAACAAAAAGTTAGTCTCTGGTTGAACTCTATACCATTTACATTTCCATACTAAATGTCAGTTTAAACCAGTGTTAGTCCCGGGTTAAACTTTTTTGTAATAAGGGGAGAAATTTTAAGTTACTGATTGCTAGCTTTTGCCAACGGCTTCACCCACGCGATTTTCGGTCTGTCCCTGAAAGGCGTTATTGAATAATAATAATCCAACATAATTTTCTACACAACGTCTTTCGCTGTAGGTAACGTCATTCGAACGCGTTTCAGTTCGGTATCCTTTCGCTTTAGCATAGTACCACAATGAATGTTTTTCGCTGAAACGTACCTACTTCGCTACAGCATCTTTAGGCACTACGTACGGTAGTGCCGTCTAGTAGTGCTATTAGAAATCTGTCCGAGTAGCGGTTAGGTGGGTAGGCGTTGCTAGTAATGTGTGGGTTGAATCTTTTATGAACAGACGCCCAAGACCGCCTCGTTGGCTCTTTTGCTGAATAAAACAACTGGGGGTTAGGTATTTTTACAGGGCCTTGTTAATTTTTTTTCGCTTGAATTTAATAGTTAAGGCGGTAAGTGGTTGCCTAGTATATTTGAAGTGATTGCTCAGTGTTATTGGTTATTTATAACGATTAATATAAGTATAACGACAACGTAGATACGACTGCGTTCTGCTGAGATAAATAAAATTTTAAAGTATTCTCAGAATTTTATGAGTAAGCCTATATAAAATATTTATGAAACCATAGTCAATGAGCTAAAATTTTATTAAGTAGATAGATAATGACGGATAAACTAACCAAAAAAATACATTTTTTATACACATAATCATTCAGACTCTGACCTTCCACATGTAATTAAACCCAAGTCTGGCATGATCTTAAGACCCATCTGCAAATACGTCATGGTTAAAAACTTCACTGTCCTTTAGTTAGCTCGAACGTAAATCTTCAAAAAATGGACTACTCGTATACAATAGGAAACAATGAAGTCAATACAATTTTAAAACCATTACCATTTTGACCTTAACTTTGTTATAATGACAATAGAAGCTCCAGTGACTTGTTCTAGCCACAAACAATTAAACTCTAGAGTACTAAATCAAGCTCGTATCAGAATTAATTGAATTCACGTCCGCTTGGAGCGCTCCAATCTGTCACAATATCCGGTCCCATGCAATTAGTTTAGGCGCAGCATAATGCACTTGAGAGCTATGCAGCAGTTTACGATGGTAGCCTAGGAGCTGAAGCTAAAAAAACACTTCATGTTATAGGTAGTACCCACCCGGGTTTTTTATGCAGCACACAATCAGTATTAACAGAATATTTTGTCAATGTTATATTACGTAGGTCGTCGTCGTCGTCGTTTCAGCCAAATGCTCCACCGTTGGCCAAGGATTTCCACAACGACCGGTCCTGCGCTGCCCGCATCCATCAGCTCTACGAGCTATGTGCCGCCCACTGCCACTTGATTTTAGCAATTCTGCGGGCTATGTCGGTCACTTTGGTTTTCCTGCGGATCTCATTTCTGATTCGATCACGCAAGGAAACTGAGGTATACGCATATAGTACTAGAGGTATAATTATTGACTAATTACTAATTATAGAGACAACTTAAGCAAAACCTTTTGCTGGGCGAGTGATTAAATTGCTGTAAACACTGAGCTATAGATAATAGATATTACTTATCTAACCAAATTCATTCCATTTGGTACTTGTATGTCTGATTAAGTAAAGAAATATTGAAACATCGTTATCTATGCTTGTATAATATACTTTATCACAATTACATTACAACGCGGTTTTTATATCGAGTTCACTGCTTATGCGTTGGCTTGGATCCAAGCGGTAAAACGAGATACCCTTGTGTTGACTCCTGGGTAGGCGGCAAGAGCGCATCCTCTCCCCCAGGAGCAAATGCCGACCACCACGCTGTTGTGGAAGAGAGGGCCACCGGAGTCGCCCTGGCACTGGTCGCGACCGCCCACGTCCAACCAGCCGGAGCACAGCATGTTGTCGGTGATGGTGTTTCCCCATACCGCATAGCGCTGCCTACACACGGCCTGATTAACAGTCCAGATTTGGACGTGACGTAGCTTCTCCGACGCTGAGCCCCCGGACTAGAATGAAACAATATTGCAATAGGGATGTTTACAGAGTTTGAATAAGTCCGTCAGTTAACTTATCAAAAAAACACTCGACACGTATTTTTCTCTTTTTCAAACTAATGAAAATTTGAATAAAAGTTCAAAGTTCTAAATAAGAGGCTCGTGACGTCAAGGAGTGCATAAAAGTGTACCACTTTATGACGTCACGCGGAACTTTGACGCATCATAACTTCGTAATTACTTGTTCGATGTGAATCAAACAATAAGTGAAAAAATTAAAAAAATAAGTGTCCAATATTTTTTGATAATATTTTATTCATTAATTAATTTAAAACTTTAATGTCAAATAAATTTGTAGTTAAAAATGTAGTACCTAATTGGCGGATTAAAATTTTTTTTAGGAAACTAGCCTACCTAAATTTATGAATAAACACAAATGATCATGATCATGATTAAAAAATCTTCTTTTTTATGCAGAACAAGACAGGTATTTCATCGCAATCGCACGATACAGTCCAAGATGATTAGAATGATAAGAATTTCTTATAATCACAATTACAATCTCTCAAATTATTGTTACAAGTGAGTTCAAATGAGTCAGGTGTGTTTAGCTGATTTGTCGTTTTGGGCCAAAATAAAACATTACAAATATTTTCTTTTGTTACAGGTAAACTCACCGATGTTGTTCCCCAGCCGACGGCCCAGACTGCTTGGTTATCAGCAAGGTTGTAGGAAGGTCCGGCGATGCTGCTTTGCTTTACTAGAGTGCCGAAGACGATTGTAGTTGCAGACCGAAGAATGGCTACGTCATAGTCATTGGTTTGCGAGTCGTAACTACCGTGGTAGGCAATGGACCCTACACTGAGTACAGTCCCGCCACTGTTGGCGTATGTTGAGCCCACTCGAATCCGCCAGTTTGATGCCGAATCACCTCTGTGTGCAAACATATTAAAAAAATTATCTATTAAAATGGAGCTGAAGCTTAGTCCAGTTTCCGTTCTTTGCAAACGGTTTTATAATTTACTAGTGACCCGCCCCGGCTTCGCACGGGTGCTAAGTACACATTATATTGTAAGCCTACCTTTTGAATTACTTACTATATCTATTAAAAAAACCGCATCATAATCCATTACGTAGTTTAATAGATCTAAGCATACATAGGGACCAGTGTTGCCAGAAGGTTACTTTTGTAACCTTTTAGGTTACTTTTGAACTGCTGTGGTTACTTTTAGGTTACACTAATGAAAAGGTTACTTTTAGGTGATTTTTCAGAAATTGTAGAATTAACTTTACAGGTTATTCAGTAAAAAATATTAATAGTGACAATTTAAAAATTATGTCATAAAGTGCATTTAAACTTGAATTTGATTTATTATTTGTTAAAAAAAAATGAGTTTTAGCGAATGTTTTTCGATAATAAAACGCAAATCCATGAAACGTTTTTATACGATTGGTCACTTTTCGAATTTAGATGATCAATTATTGTATTCATTTTCCATCCATGAACAACCTTACACAATCATCGCTCCGCACCCCCCCCCCCCGTATGAAGGTTACTTTTTATTCAAAAAGGTTACTTTTTTTAATATTTCTGGTAATTTCTGACTAGACCCGACTGGCAACACTGATAGGGACAGACAGCGGAAAGCGACTTTGTTTTATTATATTTAGTGATTTCCTTGTAGGGATAAATTACTGATTATACTTTGATCTAACCATTAGAATTGTGATCAATTAATTAAAATTGCAAACATGATATTGAAGAAATCGTGGTTTCCAAAAACAAGTTTATGCCATATTTATTAAATTTCTTTTGAACTAAAATATTAAATATTGTAATTGTGCTAAAAGTACACAATAAATACTAATTATATTTTATGAGCACCTGATAGCAAATACTTAAGATAATGATAGTATCTATTGTTTGCTTTAATTAATACAGGGTGATTTTGTTATTAGTATCCAAATTTTTAGGAGTGACTCAGAATCAGTAATTTAATCGATTTACATTAAAAAACTAGTATATTTTTTTCATATATAATTATTTTTATCCGCTGCGCGCGGTTTCAAAATTTTCACACGTGGATAATTTGCATCGTTCATAGAAAAATACGCACACACAGTTAACTGCAAAGCTTATTAAGCATAATGGTGAGCGAAAATAAGCCTAAACCTTTAAAAATTAAGATATGGCACCCGCGAATTAAAATTTCTATAATTGTTTTCTCGAAAAATACCTACCACGATTAAAAAAAGAGCTTATTAAAAATGCATACTGATAACAAAATCACCCTGTATACTTAATCACTTAAATTAATCAATTTTATCTAAAACATTTATTGTTAACAAAATATTTTCGCAGTATCCTATAATTCCTATAATGATTGCAGTAATAAGAAAGGTATTCTTATTACTGCAATCATTATAGGAATTATAGATCCTACGATCCCTACACTCATTCATTATTATACTATGGAGCTATGTTATAACCATAATGGCCATCGCCCACGGCGCAGCTGACTTTTTGTAGCCATGTAGCGATTCTGTGGCGATCCTGTAGCGCGTTAGTAGCGCATCGGCACACTTCTGAAGCGCGTTGCAAATGCGACTAACGTGCGTTAGAAGCTCTTTTATGAAAAAGTCACCGTGGGCGAGGGGCCTATATTTTACAATATTTTACCCGACTGCGCCAGAATGAGGATTATTTTTTTGACCAAAAATTTTATTTAAATGAGACATTACACATGGGTTTAGTTGTTACTATAGATTCTAGGTAGATTAGAAAGTACCCTTCTCAAGGTTCTGCCAAGAACGAAACGACATGAAGAACGGAAGATAAACTAGCACTAGCGGCTGCCCGCGACTTCGTACGCGTGGATCCCGTTTTACCCCCTTAGGGGTAGAGTTTCGTAAAATCCTTTCTTAACGGATGCCTACGTTATAACATCTATCTGCATGCCAAATTTCAGCCCGATCCGTCCAGTTGTTTGGGCTGTGCGTACATAGATCACTATGTCAGTCAGTCAATCAGTAAGTCACCTTTTAGTTAAAAATATTTAGATTAGCACGAGTTTGCATTTGTATGAGTTTATATAAGTATGCAATAGCCGTATGGTGCCGACAGAGTAAAATAAGACCTCCCCCACTCTTTCCGTGGATGTCGTTGAGAAAATATGGCCGACGCGGCGTGGAGAGTGAGCCAAATCCTCTTTTTTGCTTCGCATAAATTGGTGCACCTCCTGAAATGCAGTCTAATTAATGATTTGATGATGATGACATAATTTAATGTGTTACTTACACAACACAGTGAGCAGCTGTGAGGATGGACCTCGTATTAAGGATGCTGCCTCCACATGCCTGGTTGTAGAAAATTCCCCAGTAGGAGTAGAGCAAGGATGCAACTTCTGGATATTGGTTCACTGTCGTCTCCGTGCCTCCAACAATTTTGGTTTGCCTCTCCGGAAAAGCTGGAAAAATAATCAAGTTTGGATATCCAAAGATTCCCACCCACAAGGTGGACCGACGACCTGATAAAGGAAGGCGCTAGATGCAGGCAGCTACCAACCGTGCGATGTGGAAGTCATTGGGGGAGGCCTATGTTCAGCAGTGGACGTCCTATGGGTGAAATGATGATGATGATGCAAAGATTCGGTTCTTTTAGACCTTACATCTTAACGTTTAATTACACTTAAAAGTCCCCTTTCACTAGCGTTTTTTAACCTTCCTCCAACAGGATGCTACTGCAATGATGCACGAAGCATTCGTATCACCACGCCGCGAATGCGCTATACTATAATAATATTTTATGCAAAATGGCAAACCTTTATTTCCATTTCTTGCTCATTTTCAAAAATAATTATAAGAGTAGGTATCACTTAAGTAAAACTCTTAAGTTGGCATATTAGTAGTATTTTTCCACTGAATATCTTAATAGCTATTAACTTTATTGGAAGAGTGAATGCAGCCAAAATTGGATAAGATTAATTAAAACATTTCAGATTTAAACTTACACGTGAACGTGTCATCGTGGGTAACGTCATTTTACCTGAATATTTTGTATCATTGCTTTGTTATACCTATCAATAAAATAACCAGGAAAATTGAACTTACCGTTAACAGCAACGCAGCTGATCCAAAATAGCATAAACCACTTCATTTCGCCGTTCGTCCTAGATTGACTTGGGACTCAACTTGAATATTTATAGCAATTACCAACCTCTCATTATTATCATGGAGTACTATGATAATAAGAAGGATACGAAGAAACGGCACTCTCTTGAAACTTAATGATAAGTTGTTATTATTGATGTTTTTTGTTTCACGTTATTTTGCCTTTCCATACCTACAAAGTAGGGAAAGCAATTTCTTTTTAATATAAAGAAAAATACTAGAAATAGAGCTAACTGCGCGCACCTTCCCCGGCGTTTGCCCCGTCCACACCAGCTTTGATACCAGAGTGGGTCTCACACGAGAGTCGTTGTGACGTTACGGCAGATAAGTGCGCATTTAACTCGACGGTTGTATGTGATCAAAGAAAGAACCTCAAAATACTTTATATTGGCTCAGCATATTATAAGCAATTTAATCAAGCGAGACACCTATTGTTTTCGGCAAAAGTTACATTGTAATGTAGGCTGCCGCTCCGGACTTGCTAAAATCATTAACATTGCAATTTCAGCCGTAGCGTTAAAACTATAAGGTAAAGGTACTCGTGCATTAAATTCGTCACACACATGAGAATCCCTTGCCGTGCCGTCCTGAAATCTGTCCCGTCTAACAGTGGACGCGTAGTCATTTGAATACCGTCGAATATGTATGTCGGCCGTTTGGTGTAGTGGTTCAGAACGGACTACTATGCCGAGAGGTCCCGGGTTCGATTCCCGGCCGGGCAGAAATTGAAATGATGAATTTTAATTTCTGTGACGGGTCTGGGTGTTACTATGTATAATATGTATGTGTTACGGCTAAAGATAGGTGCGAACATAAACTTAAGATTAGCCGGCTAAACTTAAGTTTATCTTCGACGCGGTGTTAATGTTAGTTTCTTCTATCTTTAGTAGCCGGCTAAACTTAAGTGTAACCGTAGGCCCTTGGCTAAAAATGTAGAAGGAAATTGAAAAGGAAACAATGTAATAATGTTTACTATTTTGACACGAAAACTTTATTAAAAAATAATCACTTTAATTACACGTAGGCACTTGAAATTTGGAAGGGACGTAGCTTAGGTACCGTAGAGGTGCACTAAGAAAGGAATTCCCGAAACTCCCATGGGAACGGGAATTAGTGGGAAAATTCTTTTGTATGAAAAATCTAAACCGCATAAGTTAGCTTGAAATTTGGCATGCAGGTACCTTAGTAAACTTAAAGCTTAGTTACAACAGGATATTGCAAAATTCCCACGGGAACGGGAGTTAGCGGGAAAAAACACTTGTATGAAAAAATCTAAACCGCATAAGATAGATGAAGGGTTAAAACGGGATCCACGCGCACGAAGTCGCGGGCGGCGGCCCCTAGTCGAAAACCTTTTTTTAGCCGTATCGTTTTGGCTAATGTGCACATTAGCCGGCTAAAGATGGAATATCACGACGCAAACTAACATGTTATCGAACTTTAGCTGCTTCTCGAAAATAAACTTAAGTTTAGCCGGCTAATCTTAAGTTTATGTTCACAACTATCTTTAGCCGTAACATATGTATTTAAAAAAAAAAAAAAAAAAAAGTATATAAGTAGTATATCCGTTAAGCTAGCACCCATAACACAAGCATATTAATTGCTTACTTTGGGGCTAGATGGCGCTGTGTGAGATTGTCCAAAAAGATATTTATTAATACGAAGTAGGTACTGCGTATTACTGCACTGGTATTACGCAAATTATGCAGAATGCGTGTTTTAGACTTCGTGGTGCATTTTTACACCCTGTATAGCATTCTGACACTGTTGAAAGCTTTTTATTATTATTATTAAAAGCTTTATATTGACTTCACTTATCTTGTTAGTATGTGTGGAACAAATCTTGCAACTGAATTTAAGATCAGTTCTCCTCAACCGGTTGAGTTGAAATTTGGTATAACTACTTATGTAAGTACGATTACAATGCAATGCTATGGTACCATTGAGCTGGTTTGATGATGGAGTCAGGAGGTGGCCATAGGAATTCCTAAACGAAACGGCGGAAATTATCGAGTTCGACTTCGTTGGATTCGTCATTCCGAGCAGTTTGGTACTAAATGATTACCAGGACCCAGATATTGAGATACAACTAAAAAGTTTTAAATAAAAATATAATAAAAAATATTTTTTACAAAGAAATAAAACCGGACCGGACAAATTGGACCAGTAGTTCCTGAGATTAGCGTGTTCAAGCAAACAAACAAACTTTTAAGCTTTAAAATATTAATATATATTAACTTCTGTTGTTTACTTGATAGTAATCCTATTTTTCTTTAAGTAGGCTTACCAGGAACGTAATACCAAGAACTTCGTTATCAGCTCGTGAATATTTGGAACAGGGTAGATTAGAGCCAATAATCTAAGTCTTAACATTGCGACATCTTAATAATATATAATCCTGATAATTATTAATCGTATCAATTAAATGGCGTATTCTCGTAATAGTGACGATGAAATTTACATATTAACAATCGGTATTATGTAGGTAAATAAGTATTATGGTCATCGGCAGTTATATGTAAACTGAATTTCACAATTATCCGTCCTTCCTTTAAAGCCACCAATATCTATTCATTTGGATAAATGAGATGAGAGTACCTAATATTATCACAAATTATATTCTAAACATTCCAAGCCCCGAAATCAGGGACTTTTCTGCCTTTATAACGAGTACCATCCAAAAAATTGATACTAGAGTGCATTATAAAGGTAAATCAGGCTGTTAGGCCTTTACATAAATAATGCTATACAAAAAACAATTTAAACTGCCTACATCCGAAACTATCCGAAACTGTTACGGTTACGGTTTCGGATATTTTTTTATTTCGGATATCCGAAAGTTTCGGTTACGGTTACGGATATCCATAACTCTTTTCATGAAAAGATTTAAATCACTCTTTCAACTCTAACTCCTAAAGAAGTGGTTGTAGGTATGGTAAATGCCTTTGCCTTTTCCTTCAAGAGGAAAAATAAACAAAAAATCACTCAGACAGTTTTAAGTGAATAAAATTGTTTATTGTTTTAATTTACAGTTTATAGTTATTTATTTATTTATGTCAGCCAGCTAGTAACTGGCATGCCTGCAGCTGACAAACGAGTAGGTCGCACAGCGTTAAATCTTAATACAGGCATTTAAGGACGCCTTTACTTACAAAATGTGTTTACATCAACACCTACGAGTATTATGTGTTACATGACAAACATTAATATAATTAGTGACGTTAAATGTATTAGTAATAATACACCGTATCTTAGATTAAGATTAAACCATTCAAGAATAACATCCTTATTCAGTCACAGAAAAAATAACCTATTTATTGATTGTGATCAAAATTGATACTATGACTAATCTTAGTACAAACGTCAAACTAACGCCCCCAATGTTGATTGTATAATTTTCAGAAAACTATTTTCTTTGATTTCGAGTCAGATTACAAATTCAAATTCAAATATTTATTTGCACAATTTTGGGTAAACAAGCTTGTACCTTCTTTGAAAAATTCCGGATTATAGGGGGTCTTATAATAGGCAGTACTGTATAGTCCGATAAATTCTATAATCCGACACCGTGGTCCATTGCAAAAGAAAACACAAACATAATATAGACTAAAAATAAAGGTGAGTATAGGCTAGAGAATTTAATTACATAGCAATACTCTAGGTATACTCACCTTAGGCTGCTTTGGGAGCTTTTCCTTCCCCACCAGTATCCACCAGATGTGTAAGTTTCTCGCTCGGATCCCTCAAATATCTGCAACTAGCCTGTGCCCGCGCGCGACTTCGTACGCGTGAAAATAGTTTGAATAATAGGTATTTCCTGTTTGTGCAACATTTTTCTTTACTGCTCCGCACCTATTGGCCGTAGAGAAACAGAAAACTATCAGTAGTTTTCCGACCGCACTAAATATGCAACCGCTTGTACGAGTACCTATTTATACTCCCAATCCGCGACATGACATAGTAGCATCTGTCCAACGTGTTGAAAGACAAAAACATTGGTTGCAACAACAAATCCTTTTTGAGTTAAGTGTAATAAATAATGTATATTGCGAAAACAGATATTTTAATAAAACTTTCAACATAGAACCCCGACTAAATATGAAATCATGGAAATCGATTACCACATCTCTCTCGAATATTATGAAGTTCGAAAAGGACAGGCATTTTCTGACAGCATTAAGCAACTACGCAATGTTGTAGGAAATAATTTTAATCAAATATTAATAAGATAGTCAAATAAATTATAGTGATAACAATAATTTACAGTCTACCAACTAATACCTTATATCTACTGTTACTAACGTCACCAGTCAATTTTTATCGTAAACCAGTAGATTATAGTGATTGTTTTTAATATAAATACCCTGGTTAAAATCTGAATAATTCAGTGTAGTGCCGTCATAACCAAAATGCGTACCTTCATCGTTCTACTCTTGGGGCTTGCTGCTGTGTCAGGTAATTAAATTATTTTTAAAGCTAATTTAAATATTATTTTCAATTAAAAATATCATTTTAGTACATACTTATAAACTTGGCATAGCTCTGACCACTGAGGCTATCGAGCCATGGGGTATTCTTTTCAAGTTCGTTTTAGTCTAAGAGCCAGATAGAGTACTAGTAGTTACTTTTTGAGATGCACTATATTTTTCTACAGTACTTGTAAATACAAGTGTCTATAAATCAAACAAGCTTAATAAAAAAAACACCCAGCGACATCATCCAGTAAAACTCAAGTAAATTAAAGCTAGAAAGGAACTAAAGATGATTCTCTGTAATGAGTTTTTTACACTAAAGTCTATACCAATTTTTTACAGCATACCCCAAAAATATCCAAAGAATCGTTGGTGGTTCCGTCACCAGCATTAACCAATACCCTGAGATGGCGTCTTTGATGTTCTCATGGGGAACCAGCGGCCACAGGCAGGCGTGCGGAGGCACTATCCTCAACAACCGCGCCATCCTCACCGCTGCCCACTGCACCATGTGAGTTACACAAAAATAAACCCATCTCTTCATTTTTTCATGATACATACCGATGTAGTCCCTTGTGTTGCAAGTGTGCTACGTTTGTCAGTATAAACAAAGTGGAGTTAAAACTGGAATGGACAACACACATGCAGTGTTTCAACCTTTGAGACGTAAAATAAGTGTAATTTTCGTAACTAAGGTATTTTTCAATTCACTAATATTACCTATACAGCATTAAAGGCCAACAGAATTCAACTCATCATAATGCATCAGATTAAGAATTTTGAATGACAAAATGGTATTTTCAGTGGAGATGCCGCTGCAAGATGGCGTACCCGCGTAGGATCCACCAACGCTAACAGCGGCGGCACTGAACTCGCCACCCAGACAATCATCAACCACCCGAATTACAACGCATGGACCATCGACAATGACGTCTCCATTATCCGAACCGCCTCTATCATCCCCATCGGCTCTAGCACCGTTCAGGCTGGCAGGATCGCTGGTGCTGGCTACATTCTTGGTGACAACCAAGTCGTCTGGGCTACTGGATGGGGTACCACTTCTGTAAGTATTTTTTTGTTTTTTTCTGTGACTTCGACAAAAAAAATTGGCTCTAATTTGAATTAAATATTGACCTCGTTGTGTATTTGTTGTAATTCAGTCAGGAGGATCGGCGTCTGAACAGCTGCGCCACGTGCAGATCTGGACCGTAAACCAGGCCATTTGCAGACAGCGCTACGCTACTGTAGGCGACACCATCACCGACAACATGCTGTGCTCCGGCTGGCTGGATGTGGGCGGTCGCGACCAGTGCCAGGGTGACTCCGGTGGCCCGCTGTTCCACAACGGAGTGGTCGTCGGTGTCTGCTCCTGGGGCCGTGGCTGTGCCCAGGCTTTCTTCCCTGGTGTCAACGCCCGTGTATCTCGATTCACCAGCTGGATTCAAAACAACGCTTAAAATGCTTTGACTTCATGTTACGGATGCTTGATAGGATAATGATATAATACATGCTGCTAATTTCTACAATGTTATGTTTTATTTACTTATAAATTTTAGTCCTGATAGTCCTAACGCCACCAAAAACACATACAACTTGACAAAACGCACCAATCCCGTCTTCATATTTTTGCCAAGTAAATTATTAATTTCAAAGCTATTAAAAATCAAATTATAGAGTATTTTTACAGAAGTATTTCTTTGAATTATTGGTTAGTGGTATTATCTACCCAATTATTTAGAATCACTGCCGCACCTACAATTATGACACGTTACGTTCAAATGCATTTATTTAACTAAATAGGTACCATTTTATACAGGGGTTGGGTACATGGTATGTCAGCTTTATATACCATTTACCTAACACCCTGTACACGATACGAATAAATGAAAAATTACGCTCTATTTGTTTCCTATCTGAGCTTAGTCTAATCACTTAAAAATAAGAAAATGAACATGCAAAGAAAACAAAATTGTTTTTGTAGATATTACACTAAGCAGACTACCGATAATAAATTCGTGATAATGTGATACTAATTAATAACTAATCTGTGACAATTAGCTTCATGACAAAACATGAAGATTTAAGTATAATTAGATAAGATTATAGGAAATTGAAAACAAATTATAACCAAATCGATTTATTACACTTCCAAATCTTTTATATTCTAGAATTCTTGTCTAAAACTCGAACTTCAAGAACAAACTTTTCTGTTTGACAGACTCAATCAAGTCATTAATGAAGCGGACTAAAGTATATGTCTCCTAAAACACTTGACATTGGCAGAATCACCGCGTCAATAAATCCGCGGGATAATAAAAAAAAAACTAGGAGTATACAAGATATCAACGACACATCTGAATGTGCGACAAGTATGATCCTAAATAAAAATTATATCTTTGCCACACGTTTCTTCTTAAAATCTCTCATGGAAAAAGTCTGCAAGACACTTAATAGCATGAAAGCTGAGCGTATAATATTAAGTATAGTTTCAATAGTAGCCATTACAAAGTATGTATCTAGTTATCACTGTAACATTTTTAATTCTGACGTAATTTATAGATTTAGTGGACAGAGTGGACTGCATATTTTTCTAAAAAGTAGGAAAGAATGATAGGAAATAAATAAATATAGCTCAGAGGTAGATGCAAAGAGAGGGATAAGGAACGCCCCGAGTAAGTGCTGGTATTTTCAACCGACTTCAAAAAAGGAGGAGGTTCTCAATTCGACCCGTATGTTTTTTTTTTTTCTATGTTTGTTACGCGATAACTCCGCCAATTATGAACCGATTTGAACAAATCTTTTTTCGGCGTATAGGTAATACCTCAAGGGTGGTCCCATTTAAATTTANGGTCAGGCTATACACAAGATATCGCAAAACTAGTTACTGATCCTAAAAGTGCTTCACGAGCTCTATCCAACGGTATCAACAATAGCTTACAAAATAAACTGGATCTATCCAAAAATTCAATGTTTCCATCTTCCATACATTTAGTACTATCACAGTCATGGCACTCATCTCTTGATAATATTATAGCAAGTAAAGCCTATAAACTAATGTTTTCCACAAATAATTTCAAATAATATGCAAGTTACGAGTTTATTCAACCGACTTTTTAAGTTTATTATTCAACAAAAAATAAATTACATTTCTAATATTGTGGTTGGCATACATTTAGTATGGAAGCTGGAAACATTGAATTTTCGGATAGTTCCAGTTTATTCTGTAACCTATTATTGGTACCGTTTGAAAGAGCTCGTGAAGCACTTTCAGGATCAGTAACCAGTTTTTCAATATCTTGTATAGTTTAGAAATAATCGAGTGAGATCACGTATCGTTTCCACCCTGTATATGTAAGTGGAATCCGAATACTTCTCGTGGTCGTAAACTATTTCATTTTATTAACATAATTATGGTAAAATCAGAATAGGGATTAAATTATGTAGGTATGATCGTACGTAATAAAAGGCTTATGGTATTTATATTGAATTTTATAAGCAGTATGAACGAGTTCATTATCAAATCGGTAGCTGGATAATAAAGTTATTATCTGTCTTGTTCATATCTGTATTTTATGACAATGATAAGTCATTACTCCTTGAGCTGTTACTTGCACAAACAGTTAGTATTCGTGGTGTTGGGAGATGGCGGGGCCTGTGCATTTTTCAATTTTGTAGGAATGGAACTGGCGCAATAATATTTAATAAAAAGCGTAATTACTTAGGTACTATCAGCGTTTACTTACAAAAATGTTACTTTCCAAAGAGGAGCAATAAAGTTATTTGAGTTTTCTTAGGCCGTGTTGCACCACCTAACTTTAACCGTACAAACGTCAAAAATCTGTCAAACTCCTTACAAAAAACACCGGTTGTCGATGACGATCACCTAACTTTGAACTTAGCTATAAAGCTACGGTCAAAGTTAGGTGGTGCAACTCAGCCTTAATCAGTTGGTGTAACGGGAGTCTATTTATTTCTTAAAATAATATATTCTCAGCATGTTGTCTTATCCAGTCGGTGTAGCGGGAGACGCGAGTGTTGACTCCTGGGAACTGGGGCTGGGCGCAGCCTCGGCCCCACGAGCAGACCCCCACGACCACTCCATGGTGGAAGAGAGGACCACCAGAGTCGCCCTGGCACTGGTCGCGACCACCCACGTCCAGTATACCGGAGCACAACATGTTGTCATTAACCACGTTGTTAGTTACCGCGTAGCGCTGCCTGCATGCCTCTTGGTTGACGGAGTAGACCTGCACGTGACGAAGCTGCTCAGAGTTCCACCCACCTTGCTGTAAAGGAAGATAGTGAAGGTTTTATCAGAACAGAACTGGGATAGCCATTGATAAAAAGCTAACTTGAAAAGTTATTTTTTTTGCAACTAATTATGACCCATTGTCATAATGGTCCGTGCTTGCAAATGGATGCCTTCTCTTACTGCTATTTTCCTTATAACATCATGAAGAATTAAAAGTTTGTTTTTTTGCCAATAGATCGAGTTCTGGACCATAATGTATAATATCTAAGCTGAAAAGAAACAGCGCAAGAAACTCAGTCGTGTCAGTGTCGACATTCGACAATGATCAGAGTTACTGGTTAGCCAAGATACTACTACTAACTATAGTACTTACCCAAGTAGTTCCCCATCCTGCAGCCCAGACAGGCTCATTGTCAGCCAGATGGTAGTTGGTGCCAGCGATTCTGCCAGGCTGTACATTGGCGCTGAAGGGTATATTGGTTGAAGTGATGATGACGCAAATGTCGTTGTTGAAGTCAGCGCGCGTAAACTGCGGGTGGTTGATAATTTGTTGCGACGCAATGACAGTACCGCCGCTATTTGCGTTGTTGGAACCAACGCGCGCGCTCCATCTAAACGGGGGGTCCTCCCTGGAAAACATAATTTAACCTTAAATTCCAGATTGAGATGTGTTTGAAAAATTTATTGTTCAAGACGACTGTTGTGCTCGTTTTATATGAAAAAAATTCGGCAGTATTTTTTTTTTTTTCAAATTTTCATTAATTTCCTTTGACAATAAAAGCAACGATCTACATGAGAATTTTTTGACAGCATTTCAAAATTTCAATGCAAGCGTTCTTTGCTATGTATACTGCAATGCAACTTCGTCTGAGAAAGAAACAGTAGATGGTTTTATTTTTGTGTAACTCACATTGTACAGTGGGCAGCAGTGAGGATGGCCCGACTATTCAGGGTTGTGCCGCCACACCACTGCCTGTGACCGACGCCGGTCAGGGAGTACAGGAGACCTACCATCTCCGGGTACTGGCTAATGCTGACCAGGGACCCCCCAATGATCCTCTCCACGCTTTTTGGGGCAGCTGAAAATTTTACAATATTTCACGTAATTTTATCCTTTTACACTATTAGGTACTCGTTTAACGATGCTGGTGCAAAACCACTTTATACCATTTTGAACTTTTGCGTTTGAACGTTGTAGAGTTTTAGACAGGCAGCTACCTCTTTGTACGGCGTGGAAACGCTGGGATCTTGGGGCCCGGAGGCCAAAAAGCTATTCACTGAGCTTTCTCCCGCATTATCGAGGTTACCGGTGACCAGAAGGCTGGGTTCTACCTTGGCCAGCGTCTAAGCCTCGCAATTCAACGCGGAAACTATAATCCGGGCCTTTTCAAGGCGAGAGTGAATAGGCACTTACAGGGCAGATATGTACCATCCTAGACCGCATCCCACTTAACATCAGGTGCGATTGTGGTCAAATACCTTGTTATGCATAAAAAATAAAAATAAAAAAATAAAAAAACGCTGTCAGCCTTCTGGGCACCGCTAACCTCAATGACGGATTTGGGGATACTTAGGATAGCATAAGTGTATTTTTTATTATTTTACTTTTATTTTCTGTAAATAATAACTTTTGTATAAAGTTTTTAATTTTTTAAGTTCATTGTAAATTAATTGTAAATAACTTTAAATTTTAACCAGACTGTAGCAACACAGCTGAAAAGTCAATAAGTCAAGTAAATTGAAAGGCTCGGGATTTTTGCGGTTTGCCACTACAATTAAAAACTCCACCAGCTAATAAAAATAATGAATATTCGATTCCTACGACGAAAAAAGAATAGTTATGTACCCGACACAGCAGCAAGCCCCCATAGCAGCACCAGGATTCCACGCATCTTGTTGTCAGCAGCAACACTAAAACTATTTACATCTAATAGTAAGAAATAAATAGCAAATAACTATCAGTTAACGATTATAAATACTGATATATTGATAACGATAAACATACCGTTAATAATGACGCTATAGTTAACATTCAACTTATAGGTTGAAATAGATTTAAAAGGATTATTAAAATATAGTTTATCAAGCTAAAGATTTAGCTTATATCTTTAAAGGAGACTGGGGGGTACTCTTCAATGGGGTCAACACGCACGCTTAAATTAATAGTAATTACTACCTAAAGGTTATGGAACCTCAGTCTGAAGCACTTCTGTATGTAAATATATCAAAGTTCAAAGAAAAAATCGCACAAAATATAAATCGTGCCTAGATTATATTTTTCTTCGAGAATCAATTTTTGTTGTTTATTGTTTTAGCACGTCATGCGATTACTCATTTTATGGAAAATTCCCTGGAGATACGATTTCACAAAATACAAATACTGCACTACAAAGTAAAGTTTATAATATATCTTAAGCAGTAACTGTGATACCATAGGTAACATTGGACCAATTTCGCCCAGTCTCCTTTGAACCGGACTTGACAAGTAATTTTGGGGGAGACTGGGGGCACAATGGGGGTTTTATAGATGATGAAATTTACGTACCTACACAAACACACGATGATGCATAAGTCCATGTTGCAAGCTGCAATAAGTTCATCAGTTCTGACTTCAGAAAAATAAGTAACGCCCGTATTCACAAACAATGCTTGTTTAAGTCAGCAAATCGAACGCACAGCGTTGAATAGAGCTCTGTGATTGGTTCGTGTGTCACCCTGTGCGTCCACGCGCACTGTAAGACCTCATAGTAATGTTTGTGAATACGGGCGTAAGAGTAGACTGGAGCAAAACTGGGGATTCGTGGCATAGATTTTTTAGAACATCCAAAGTTAGTTACACTACTGCGGCTGACACCAAGACGAGCGGACTTGTCAAACAAAATGATGTTGTAATATTGTAACATATTTTAATACTACTATACTATGACTTTCGTCGAGATATGTTGAACATGTAAATAATGCGTGTGCGATCAAAAAATTAAACCATGTATTTATTATTTCACGCCATTATGTCATTTTTTAATTTTACCAAAAACATTATGATTATGATTTAATTATTAATATTAATTATAAAATGCATCAGTGACGATAAGTGCTTGCATTTATTTCGATATTTTATATGTAGAGTCATTCGGGTCAAGAGCACGCACTTTTTTTTTGATGGCCTCCCAGACCTATAAAGAATTATTATATAATTGGCATGTTATGATATTAAATCTGTAGAATATTTAATATATTTTCACGTAATTGTTGAACAAAGATACCCCTTCCCAGCGATTCCATAGCGCGGCTAGTAGGTAATCATAATTTGTGTGATTCTTTCAGGCAGTGCATTTTCGCATGTCGCGTGCGCTATGGAAACCGCTGGGAAGGGGTATCTTTGTTCAACAATTACGTCGAAACTAATAGGCGTAGACTAATAAATTTACATTCGTTTTGTAGAATAGCTCAAATACTAATAATACAATGCAAATAAAACATACCTTAACGACCTGGTTTTTCTTTTGACTGAAAAAGAAGTGAAAAAAATCTTGTCTTTTTCTAATTAAATCCATTCTTACTCCCTTAAAATGTATGAAACTTGTATCTGTTTTCTACTTCTACTAATAAATAATTTTATTGGCTATCGCATGATATAAAATTTATGCTTATTAGTGTGAAGTTACCCACGCTTTCACTCAGAGGCGGCGTTAAGCGTGGGCGATGTGGGCCACCGCCTACGGCCTCGCGGTACAAGGGGCCTCGCGACTCAAAAATGTTTAAAGCGAGAATAAAACAAAAATAAGCCGTAATGGGTGCGACTCTGGATGGGTGTGACTCTGCAAAGTATATTATTTGTTATGGATGTGATTCTGGTTTAGTGGCATCTTGCCTAATGGCAAATCGCAAAAACTTCCCGATTAATCGGGACTATACGATGTTTACAGTTGATTTTCCAGAATATCGCAAATTCTTTGATACATAACGTTTGTACTGCCGGAATTCATTTTCCTCTGGAATGTCCCCAAAATTCCATTATTTTTGCCGTATCACTTACCGTTTTCGACATATCTGCGTGTGCAAATGACCTGCGCGTATCGATACGATTAATATTATAGGGAGTCCTTCGTACTTACATATATTATGAACCTTAAGATGTATAACTCAAAAACATTTTACGAAACTATTGAATAAATAATTGATTTTTTGCCACAGATATAGGTATATCTATATCTGTGTTTTTTGCAATATTTCAAATATCATAGGACTCATTGTTAGTACTGCTAAAGTTCATCACCCCTTCAGGAAACCCCCAAAATTTCATTATTTTTGCCGTATCTCTTACAGTTTTCGAGATTTTGCATTTGCAACCAACCGTCTTCAGGTCGCCATAGAACAGGGCCTCGCGAAATCTGTCTTGCCCACATCAAATTTAGTTGTTGCCCCGCCACTGCTTTCACTTGTTTTTGAAGGAAGAGGTGAAAAATAAAAATTAAAAACTTAAATCCTTATATTTTTGCGAGAAATGGGTCAAGCCCCAAATTTGAAGTATTTTCATCGATAAAATTGTCCATAGATTAAGCCTTTAAAGTTTAATCACTACATGCCCGGACACACTGTATATGTATTACCGTAGGAGTCACTTAAAAATTAGGGATTGATGGTGAAAATGGGCATAAGAGTCCTTAGAGTCTAACGACTTCGTCCAAACTTAGTTACTTTCACTTGTTAGTTTCACATCAGATTACTAAAGTTACACATTCATAAAACGTTCTAGAGCAGACATTTTCATAATGTTTCTAACTTATTACATTATGTACCTACCAACTCAAAATTAATAACACAATTATTTATATTTTCCATACAACCTTTTATTTCATAGCATTAAGTCAGACAGGAGTTTGTGTAAAACCATATTAAGCATTTTGTGTGATCCAGTTAGTGTATCGAGATACACGGGCGTTGACACCAGGGAAGAATGGACTGGCACAGCCGCGACCCCAGGAACAAACACCGACGACAACTCCGTTGTGGTAGAGAGGACCACCGGAGTCGCCCTGGCACTGGTCGCGACCTCCTACGTCCAGCCAGCCGGAGCACAGCATGTTGTCGGTGATGGTGTCGCCTACAGTAGCGTAGCGCTGTCTGCAAATAGCCTGGTTGATGGTCCAGATCTGCACGTGGCGTAACTGCTCAGAAGCCTGTCCATTTGCCTGTAAATGGAAAATTGATATTTAGAATAAACCCAATCGAATTAAATAATAAATGTGAATTTCCAATTGAATTTGTGATATAATTGTGAATTTCCAGAATAAAAGCTGTACCCAAGAATCATGTTTATGTTTGTAATAGTTAAAGTCCAGGACTATAGGCACAGAATAAGTAATAGTACAGGTACAGAAGGATTACTCCGCAAAACGATTTAAATAAATGCGAGTCTTGCTACGACGCGTTACAGTGGAATTCAGCTCGCACAGCACTACGTACCTACAATTTTATTCACCTACAAGTTTTGTCTCTTTCTATCGCGTGCCTCTGAACTCTTCTGACGCTGTTAGGGTTGCTGTCTAGTGAAAAAATAATTAATCTACTTATTTGTAATGAGGTACGTATGTAGGTAAGTATGCATTCATTATGGAAAACCTTGGGAGAGGCCTTTGTCCAGCAGTGGACGTCATTTGGCTGAAACGAACGAACGAATTCTGAGCAGTAGTCATGGTAGGTTAGGTTCCTATACTATCCTAAGAATTATTGACCTACATGGCCAACATACCTTTCAGCATTTTTGGGAAGCGAAAAAAAAAGATAAATCCGGTATATTTCTTTTCGAATTTAAACACCCGAACGCCGCACAATATTTCTTTCTCTTTATGTCCATTTTTAAATAATACTTCGATCATAGAATTATAATCATACTACAACGCACGCCAGCGTCCTGACGGGCGCGCGTGACACTCGACTGATATAATACCCGCCGGCGGGGCGCTTCGCTGTAGGTAATTATCGGATGTACCGCGCGGAGTGAGCCAGGCCTGCTATAGGGTAGAATACGGTAGATGCGATCAACTATACTTACACTAGTCCTACCCCATCCAGCGGCCCAGACTACTTGGCTATCAGCAAGGTTGTAGGTGGCACCAGCGATTCTGCCAGCCTGAACAGTATTTGAACCGATGGGAATGGTGGACGCCATGCGGAGAATAGAAATATCATTGTCATAAGTCCAGGGGTTGTAGCTCGGGTGGTTGATGATTTGTGCAGTGTTAATTTCAGTTCCTTCGCGGTTTGCAAAGTTGGATCCTACACGAGCGCGCCATCTGGCAATTGTGTGTCCGCTGAAAAAAAACCATTTCCATTTTATTTATCTTTAGAACATGTACTTTTTACTACTACCAAAAAGACACCATAGTCCACATAATAAGAACCTACGCAAGAAAACCAAAGTAACCGACATAGCCCGCAGAATTGCTCTACTCAAGTGACAATGGGCAGGGCGCATAGCTTGTAGAGCTGATGTCCGTTGGGGCAGAAAAGTTCTCGAGCAGTGACCACGGACTGGAAGATATAGTGTGGGCAGGCCTCCTACTGCTGGACCGACGATCTAGTGAAAGTCACGGGAAATACCTGGATGCAGGCAGTGCAGGACCGGTTCCAGTAGTATTACCCCAGATCACTAATGTATTATGACGTTGTATTTATATTTCAATTAATTTTTGAATATTGAAAGGTTTTCAAGAAAAACGCAATTTAATACTGCAGTGTAATATTGCAATTTCAAAGTAAACATAAAGAACAACTCACATGGTGCAGTGCGCAGCAGTGAGGATGGCACGGTTGTTGAGGATAGTGCCGCCGCACCCCTGTTGGTGGCCAAAGCCAGAACTGGAGAACAATAAAGCTGCCATCTCCGGGTACTGGTTGATAGTAGTCAGAGACCCACCGACGATTCTTTGTATGACTGGGGCGGGTGCATCAGCTGAAAAGAAGTAATATAATTATTAAATTAAACAGCAATGTTAACAGCCGCAAACTTGAAATAAGTTGCATAATGAAATGTACCAACGTGATGCAATATAATTATTATGACTGACTGCATTGTCATCTAAGGCTGTGTACGTTGCAGGGCGTAACGACCCCTGTATCAGCCATATCAATGATACGTGACCGCCGGGCTACATGGACCCCCAGGGCGGTATTAATGACCTTTTCTGTAGATGAAAAGGCCTCCTGTATCCTTAGTTTGAGACTTGCTACGCCACTAGTAGTTGTGAGCAGACTATACGTGTAACTGGTTATGACAATAAATTACCTGACACAGCAGCTAGCCCCATTAGTAAGACCACTAAAGCGTGCATTTTTTTGTTATCGGTTAACACTATGAATGAACTGTGTTGTTCTAGTATGCTTATTTATATGAAATTTGTTAGGAGTATTAGATCACAGATATCAATATTAATCAGCGTTGATATTAGCATACTGATAAATTAATTTAGGCAATCCATCAATTTTAACGTCACCACTTTAAAGCAGATACATCGATACGAGGCGTTCATCGATACGAGGCGCTATTTGTCTCGTAAGGATTTTTTCGGCCCGAGGCTGCCTCTAGCGGATACGCGGCCTTTGAGTTGTCAAACAAATAGCTTAATTTGGGATCTAAAGCGGTGTCTTGAAAACTGCTTACGTAAAAAGCTATTTCCACGTCATTCAATGCAAAATCAATAGAATAAAAACACCACTGTTCTATTGTACTTGTAGATGAATTTAAAAGAGTGGAGTCGACAATAGCTCATCGTCTTCGACCTAGGAAACCTATGGTGGAAAGAAATATGTGTAAGACTGCATTAATGAAAAAGAGTTTCTTAGATATGGCACCAAAACTCGGCTGAACCATTTAAGAACCTAGTAAGGGACACTTTTTCAGATTTTCGTTTTTTGTCATAAATCACCTTAGAATTAAGGTCTCCACAGGATGTGAAGACAGAAATCGCTCTATTACACTTAACACCGGAGAAACGCGTTGCTAAAAACCTAGTAAGTCCAATTCAAATCTGCAAAAACCATTATCAAAACCTAGCAAGTTACAATGACCATTTAAAACCTAGTAAGTGCATGGACTTACTAGGTTTCAAAATGGTCAATGTGACTTACTAGAGGTAAAATGCTACTGTAATATAAATATTATTTCGAGTTCTGTTGGCTGACACTCGATAACCATATCAAAATCTGGGGACTACATGAGTACTGATTCATATTCGATTTTGATTTTGATTTTTACGAGGCACTTTTGTCAAAAAAATAATTTTTAGTGTTAGTAAAGAGCATAAAACTTGCAATTTTTAACTAAATATATTCTTTTATTCCATAAAGTATACTTTAGTAACTAATCTTTAATATAAACATCGGAAGTTATCCAAATCTTTAAGCATCTTAGCAGGGCAAATGAAAATGCGTTTTTTCGCTCTCCTGTAAAATTTGCTCCGCTGCACTTACTAGGTTCTTAAATGGTTCAGCCGAACTGTTTAACAAGCTTCCTAAGGCCTTGCTAGAGTGTGATGACAAAATGTTTAAAAAGGAACTGATCTTACTACTATTAAATAAAATGTATTATACCATTGATGAATTTTGTAATGATTCTTTAGGCTAAGTTTTGACATAATTTGAAATTGTATACTTTATGACATAAGCTATTATTTTGTTGTATTTAATAATTAGAAAGATTGACTGACTGCATTGACATAGATAATTTTGTAATACCAATTGATTTAGATTAAATTATTATTCAAATTTATTAAGAATTCGTATGCCTATACGGCAGATCATAGTGGAACCTACTAACCCCTAACAACTTTGTACCTATGATAATGACGAATAAATTTCATTTTCATTTTCATTTTTCATTTTAGAAATAATTAATTATAATAAACCTCCCAGCATTTAACAAAAAAAATAATACACAAAATTACATTAACCACATACGAGGTCATACAACTAAGGGACTCTTAGTGACTTTGTAGGTCAGGTTGTTACAATAATGGCATAATTATTATTTCTCCATAGCACGAGAACAGTTTAACATTGGTGTCATACTGAAGCGTCTCCTGAAGTCTGATAATTTCAACTTACAGACAGTGTTCAATTTGCTATGTTCTATCAATTTGTTTAATTAAATTGTATTGTATCAGCCGTTTTAACGCATTTGCTACCTAAGCTAAAAACACAGTTTTTAAAGCAATTTTTTTATTAAGAAACTTGCAATTTATTAGTCGTAACATGAAGTAAAAGCATTTTAAGCGTAGTTTTGAATCCAGCCGGTGAATCGAGATACACGGGCGTTGACACCAGGGAAGAATGGATCGGCACAGTCGCGGCCCCAGGAGCAGACACTGACGACCACTCCGTTGTGGTAGAGAGGAGCACCGGAGTCACCCTGGCACTGGTCGCGACCGCCTACGTCCAGCCAGCCGGAGCACAGCATGTTGTCAGTGATAGAGCCGCCTACAGTAGCGTAGCGCTGTCTGCAAATAGCCTGGTTGATGGTCCAGATTTGCACGTGGCGTAACTGAAATAATAAATGTGAATTTCCAATTGAATTTGTGATAATTATTAATTGTGAATTTCCAGAATAAAAGCTGTACCCAAGAATCATGTTTATGTTTGTAACAGTTAAGACATAGGGTAGTAGAATACCCACCACCACCTACCCCATCCAGTGGCCCACACAACTTGGCCATCACCAAGTTTATAGTTGACACCAGCGATTCTGCCAGCCTGAACAGTATTTGAACCTATGGGAATGGTGGACGCCATGCGGAGAACAGCAATATCGTTATCAATAGTCCACCTGTTGTAGCTCGGATGGTTGATGATTTGTGCAGTATTAATTTCAATTCCATTGCGGTTTGCAAAGTCGGATCCCACACGTGCGCGCCATCAGGCAATTGTGTGTCCACTGAAAAAAAAACTTATTTATCTATTTTGCTTCTTTAAAAGGTTCCACATCTCAAAATAAAAAGAGACACTTTGTAGGATCACTCTGTTGTTCGTTTCTCTATCTGTCTTTTAAGGCTCCTTAAGAATCTTAACCTTTAAGGTAATATTTCAATCTTACCAATAAATCAACATGGAAAGCATTGGGGGAGGCCTATGTTCAGCAGTGGACGTCTTATGGCTGAAATGATGATGATGATGATGAAAAAATCCCACTTATATGCAGTTGCAAAGTAATTGATAAATATCAACTCACATGGTGCAGTGAGCAGCGGTAAGGATGGCGCAGTTGTTGAGGATGATGCCGCCGCACGCCTGTCTGTGGCCAACTCCGGAGCTGGAGAACAACAGAGCTGCCATGTCCGGGTACTCTCTGATGGTAGTCAACGACCCACCCACGATTCTTTGAATGACTGGGGCGGGTGGATCCGCTGAAAAGAAGCACACATAATACGTTAATAAATGTTTGTTAGATCATTAAAGTTACTTTGCGGCTTCTACCAATATTTGGACGCATGTTTTTGTTGGCGGTAAACACTAACAATGAAGTGCATGGTTTGATATGCATATTTATATACCGCAAATAATGCAATAATTATTTATCATCACTAAGTTCGGATCAACATTCAATTTATTGACACTGATAGATCCACATAGATAATGAAGATGATCCATCAACCTTAAACTGACCAACTGTTATTTCCAAAATTATCTCGTACGATAATTAAATTTTAATAATATTACCTAAGTGTACATTTTGGAATGCACTATCAGAATTTCTAATTAAAATAAACTATAAAGGTTATTTCAGCGCATTCACCAATACACTAAATAATTTAAATAGCGAAGTAAATAATTAATTATACATTTGAACATGCCTGGATGCGATCGGCGCAGGATCAGTCTTCGTAGAAATCCTTGGGGGAGGCCTTTGTCCAGCAGTGGATGTCTTTCGGCTGAAACAAACATTTAAACAATGAAACATAATGTATTTTGTGCAATTATGATATTATAAACCTCCGGGTCTGAGGCAGATGGTCTTACCATCAGTAGACCACAGAGAGGTTTTAATGTTAATTAAATAACTGCAACTTTTAGGTACCTACCTAACTACGAGGCGAAAAACGCCTCTTAAGTTTTAAGCTTCTTTGATCCTATATTTGAATTTACATATTATGTAGGATAAAGTATTTAATTTAAATCGGACATTTAGCATTTTAATTATGTATTATTTTTTATTAAAATCTTTATTTTCACCCTGAAGACAATATCGAAAGGGCACGCCTCTATATTGATTGTAAACAACAAGCGAGGCGTTTTTCCCCGACTTAGTTGTGTTGCTAATCATGATTAACAATAAATTATCGGGTTGGGTTTTATTTGTGATTTCCGGATTATGAATGAGAATCTGTTTGTTAATGGCATACTCGCGACACTACTACGATTGCCAACGGAGGGAAAAGACATACTACGGGTGTAAGTGACCATGCCATCTACATTTGCAATTACCTACTAGCCAAAATATTCTTCAAAATTTAATTCTTACCTACGATCCTTGTTTTTAACTGAGGCAAGTAATTTATTTTAAAATTGATTTTATAGATTGTATTTTTAATAATGCGTAATTATTTATTAATTTACTAGCGGCTCGCGCCTGCTTCGCACTGGTACAATGTTATACTTAAAACCGTCCTCGAATCACTCTATCTATTAAAAAACCGCATCAAAATACGTTTCGTAGTTTTAAAGATCTAAGCATACATTGGGACAGACAGAGAGCTAAGTGACTTTGTTTTATAAGTATACAGGGTGGAAACGATAAGTGATCTCATTCGATTATTTCTAAACTATACAAGATATCGAAAAACTGGTTACTAATCCTGAAAGTGCTTCACAAGCTCTATCCAACGATACCAATATTAAGTTACAGAATTAACTGTATCTATCCGAACATTTAATGTTTTCAGCCTCCATACTAAATGTATGCCAGCCAAACAATATTAGAAGTGTCAAATGTTTTTATTAAATAATACACACTTAAAATAAACTCGTAAATTGCATTCTTATTTAAATTATTCTTGGAAAACATTGGTTTTAGGCTTTACTTGCTATAATATTAACAAGACATGAGTGCCATGACTGTGGCTGTACTAAATGTATGGAAGCTGGAAACATTGAATTTTCAAATGGATCCAGTTTATTGGTACCGTTGGATAGAGCTCGTGAAGCACTTTCAGGATCAGTAACTAGTTTTTGAATATCTTGTATAGTTTTTAATATTATGTGGTTTTCCTAAATGTATGGAAGCTGGAAACATTGAATTTTCGGATAGATCTAGTTTATTTTGTAACCTATTATTGGTACCGTTTGAAAGAGCGTGTGAAGCACTTTCAGAATCAGTAATCAGATTTTCGATATCTTGTATAGTTTAGAAATAATCGAGTGAGAAACGTTTCCACCCTGTAGATTACTAGGTATTCCATAACACCCTAATATCTGCTACTAATGATAATGAGGTAGTTTGAATAATAATATACCTATTTATGGAACTTTGTGAATATTTCACACGTTAACTGCTGAAGGGATTAATTTAATAGGTTTTCAATTCAAATTATAGTTTAACTAGCTTTTGCCGGCGGCTTCACCCGCGTGAAATTCAGTTTGTCATAGATCGTCATAGATTATGGCCTATATGTTATTATGGGTTATAAACAATAATACTGTAAAGTTACAACAAAATCCGTTCGGTAGTTTTTGCGTGAAAGAGTAACAAACATCTAGACATCCATACAAACTTTCGCATTTATATACTCGTAATATTAATTTTTGCTCGACTTGGTGGGGGCATGCACTGCCGTGCCCCCAGATATATATTTTTTAATCACCGGCTTAAATTGCCGGAGTTCGGTTTCAAACAAGACAATTTCTTGAACATTCAATCAATAATGTTTTTTTATAGCAAGTGGTGGTACCTAGTTTCTCGCTAATGTCTTCGAGCAAACTTGTAGTCTCCATACTATTAGTAGGATTTGAAATTAGCACCTACTACTACTCTAGGTGTATCCTAGGGTAGTAGTAGGTGCAAATAACTAATGTTTCGATTACATTTTTGTGAATACCTATCAATGCTCGTGATCTTGAGCTTCTTTTCAAGAACTTTCTGTTAAATCTAGCTTTGGTCACAAAAGCTAGTTTAATATGAAAATATTGAAAGTAGGTTTTACTTAAAAGTACAATTTTACTCGTATTCTATAAATAAAAAAATAAGCAGATACTACATGTCAAGATAAGAGTAAAAGTTATACGTATTGATTAGGAGAGATTGGTGATTTTTAATCTTGATAATGAATAAATCGTATGTTGTAAAATTATGGGCTATTAATTTCAACGTGTTCCTGGCGGTATCCTTTAACTTTAAGGGAATTTTCTATGAATAAGTGTTCCAAAACACATAATTTTTCAAAGAAGGCAATTTTCACAAAATTGGTTAAAAAAAGATCACCTATATAACCAGCCCTTATGTGCATAATTTTTATTGTTAGATAGCGAATTATTTCGTGTGATAAAATAATAATTAAAAAATAGTTTAAATGCTATACGATTCTTTTAAGTGATCTTAATAATACCCTAGAGCTAGACTCATGGGATATCGTCAGAAACACGTTGTAAAGTTTAACATAACTATGTAATATAAGAGCACTTTTTGTGTACGAATAATATTCTTTGGTGATAAGAATAAGAATAAGAAAATTTATAATATCATTACATGTATTTTTCATTGTCATTTTACAATTTTTAAGCCAATCGCCAATACTGTAAAAACCCTGTATAATGATAATGTACTTATTCCTATAATCCCCTTAGAGATAGTATAATCTTACACACCCTAATAAACATCATTCAAAATGAATACTCCTTATCCGTTTCTGTCGTGGGTAAAAAGATAAGTAGGTGCCGATAGCTTTGATCCCTTAACCAATAAATGGTTGCAAAAGCACACACGTAAATTAAATTATGCATACTTAAATAATAAAAAAATACAAATGTGCGTTTCAAGAGAAAAATCTAACAACAAATTCACACATATTTTCATATGAAGACCACAGTCACATGAAGAAAAAGAAAAGAAACACATCAGGCCCAGAACAGACGGTGAAACGCAACTGCAACGAAACTGTAACTGCCGTTGAGAGACCACACATGAGACGTGACCAGTTTGAAACTTTCAGTTTCATTCATCAGAATCATCACAAAATTGCAGTTTCATTGCAGTTGCGTTTCACCGTTGTTCTGGGCCTAACAGTACATAATAAAAGTTGTGTCATAATGTACCTACAGAGTACTTGATATCTGCACCTAATAACTAGGTAATAAACATCTGAACCAAGCAAGTACATGTTTAAGTTTTCATCTCGTTCAATAATGAGGGATTCAGTTCGCGGTCTTCTAGGCACACTTGCTCCTGTCACTCCTCGCATTGGCTAAATAAGTTGTTTTTCTTATCAGAAGCTTGCTTGGAGAGATAACTCTGAAATACAGAGTTTACATTATTGGTAGGTTTTGGATGTTCCCTTAGCCGCCTTTTATGACACCGGCGGGAAGGTTCTACGCGGCCAGAACCACGCGGAAACTCGACAACCTACTGTAACATCTAGAACAAAAATACTCTTATTTAATTTTGTACTATGAATCTGTGCATGATCCTACTCTTAAATTAAATGCGAAAGTTTGGATGTTTGGATGTCTGGATATCTGCATGTCTGGATGTCTGGATGTCTGGATGTCTGGATGTCTGGATGTCTGGATGTCTGGATGTCTGGATGTCTGGATGTCTGGATGTCTGGATGTCTGTATGTCTGGATGTTTGTTACTCCACAAAGTTACTCTTTCACGCGAAAACTACTGAACGGATTTTGATGAAACTTTACAGTATTATTGTTTATAACCCAGAATAACATATAGGCTTATAATTCATGACCATCTGTGACAAACTTTCACGCGGGTGACGCCGCGGGCAAAAGCTAGTCTTAAATATTGCTCACTAAGTTTTTGATAAGTTTCAATAATTCATCAAGCCGATTGCGGGTGAGCGAGGATAGGTACCTACCTATCGCGAGATTCGCGTTGTAGTATCGACTACATGATTATCGATATTATTATCGAATCTGACTTGTATTTATTAATGAAACCGATAAAACGTCGCCATTGTTTACGTTCACGGTTTGTGTAATTATTTTAGGTAAGTACTAAGAGTAAAACTCCACACGTATGTCCTACGCGATTACTTTTTTACTACACTTTAATGTAATCATTCTTTTATTCAATTCAATTTAATTTAATTAACTATTGTATTGTATGCCTAAAAGGCGGAACACAGTGAAACTAATTGTAATATTATGTGACCTGTATTTATATAACCTGTGATTCACAATAAAGACATTATATTAGGTAATTACCTCAGATCATATTCTATGATCTGAGGATATTAGGTACTAACGGCCGCCCGCGACTTCGTAAGCGTGAATTCCATTTTAACCCCTTAGGGATGGAGAACCTACTTCCTAAAAGCAACCCCCATGCAAAATTAGAGACTTAGCACTTGTAGCTTCTCAGATTTCGTGATGAGTGAGTGAGTCAGTCAATCAGTGACCTTTCGCTTTTATCTATACATACTAACATTATAAAGAGGTAAAGTTTATGTGTTTGTATATTTGTTAAATTGTAAGGGGTAATCTCGGGATCTACTTAACCGATTTTAAAAATTCTTTCACCAATAGAAAGCGATATTATTACTGAGTGTCTTAGGTTATATAAAAAACCGTAAAATTCCACGCGGACGAAGCCGCGGGCGGAAAGCTAGTAAATAATAGCGTCGTTAGTTGCTGCGTTTGTCGTTCACCTAGGACAACGGATTACGTCCGGAATGGACTGCCATTGGTGATGATACTTCATCATTTTCAGCCATAGGACGTCCACTGCTGAACACAGGCCTCATCCAATGATTTCCACAATAGCCGGTTGGATGCGGCCTGCATCCAGCGCCTTCGCGCTACCTTTATGAGGTCGTCGGTCCACCTTGTGGGTGGACGTCTTACGCTGCGCTTTCCTTTGGTGATGATTATGTTCAATAATCTTCATTGTCATCATCATAATCGTATCAATAATTTCCATATTGACCGGCTGATAACGGCCTGTATCTAGCGCCTTCCTGCTACCTTTATGAGGTCGTTGGACCTGTCGGACCTTGTGGGTGCACCGACGAGTGACAGTGAGATGTCCGGTCACCGTTCAGCAATCAGCAGTATAGCTAAGTACTTTCTACGTTTTTCCAAAATCATACAAATCAAAGGTGAACAAATGAATGGGTCATATGGACACATGGTGTGGTCATACTCTTGCCAGAATTTCTTGTCTCGTGTTCGATCCCCGCACAATACAAACCTTTCTGTGGGTGAACCTTTTTGGGGCTGGATGTTTTACTTACATGTTTTCATTTATTATCTACACTAATATTATAAAGAGGAAAAGTTTGTTTGGTTGTAATGTATAGGCTCAAAAACTACTGGACCGTTTTTAAAAATTCTTTCACCATTCGAAAGCTACATTATCCACGAGTAACGTAGGCTAAATTTTATTTTAGAAAAAAATAGGGTTCCGTAAAATATGTAGATAATGTAGACCACGCGCGCGAAGCCGCGGGCGGAAAGCTAGTAGTGTTTAATAAAAAAGTTAAATTTAGCTGAATGGCGCAGAATAAAAATATCCAATATCATTCATCATAATTTATATCATCAATGAACAGGATGTTGGGCAAGCTCATCATAAATATAGAGAGATAAATGGTGACTCAACTCTAAGTGTGGGCAAATAAAAGCAGAGAAACAAAACAAGCTGTAACTAGGCCCACTGGTAATGATAATAATTCTAATCTTGGTCGAAAAGTCAGAAAAGTGGGATATGAGGATGAAGTTTTAGGTACTTAAAACGGAATCTATTACCTAATAGATGAGGTTAAAGATTCAGTCAAATCAATGCATTTAAGTCTGATCGCGTTTAATCGCCATCGCCGCATGCCGGCTGATCGCGTGTGATCGCGTTGGTTTGGCTGAACCTTAAAAGTGAATGTAAAATAAAATAAAATTAACACGAAAAATATTTGTTTTATTAATTAAGTACATAAGTTCACATCATAATATTGATTTACTACTGTCTCGTTTGGACACAATCAATAGTTACAAATCTGTCACGCAAGTTGTTGAGTAAGTATGATAAACATTTTAGGCATTTTGCGAAATCCAGTCAATGTATCGAGACACACGAGTGTTGACGCCAGGGAACTGTGGCCAACCACAGCCAAATCCCCAAGAGCAGATGCCGACGACCACTCCGTTGTGGTACACCGGGCCACCGGAGTCACCCGAGCACTGGTCGCGCCAGCCTACGTCCAACCAGCCGGTGCACAATTGGTTGGCGGTGATGACAGCGTAAAAACCCGAATAACGCTGCATACAAATTTCTTGGTTGATTGTCCATATCTGGACATGACGCAGTTCCTCAGAACCTGGTCCAGTCATCTTCATGAAAAAGGAAAAATAATCATATTAGCTATTCCCCAGTTCCAATAATTTCATGACAAAAATTTAAATCTACTTACGCTAGTCGTACCCCATCCAGTAGCCCAGACTTCTTCGTTGTCAGCAAGGTTGTAATTGGCACCAGAGAACCGTCCCGGCTGCACGTTTGTGGTACCGATGGGGATGGTGGTGGTGGTGTGCACAATGGCAATATCATTATCAACGGTGAGACCATGAAAGTTGGGATGGTTGATAATCTGCTGGGTATCGAGCACAGTACCATTGCTGTGTGCGTAAGTGGATCCTACACGAAAGCGGAAGTTCAGATTGGCACGGTTTCTGAAATTATAAAGGGTATTGTAAGTGAAATGATCCCCATTACCAGAACTCTTTTACTAAGGATGCTCATTATATGATTACTTAAAATTGATCTGCTCAAGATTCAGGGAAAAATGAAAACCTACACGGTGCAGTGAGCAGCGGTGAGGATGGCGCGGTTGTTGAGGATGCTGCCGCCACACCACTGCCTGTGGTTGACGTTAGTCTCCGAGAACAGCACAGCGACCATCTCTGGGTATAAGCTAATGTCAGTGATTGACCCGCCTATAATTCGGTGGTCATTTCTGGGGGCAGCTGAAAAGAGATTTTTATTTCTCATCAATTATTGCGTTACTAAAATGGAACTCAAAAACTGTTTTAAATCACCTAAGGTGCGGTTCGATGTGCTTCAGGGGTGAAGTTAAGTTTATTAGTCATCATAATTTCAGTAATAGAAAGTTCACTCCTGAAAATGAGCCATCTCAGCGTTTTCCTACAACCTCTATGAGGTTGTCTGTCCACCTTGCCACCTTGTCCAATTGGTGGACGTCTCACGCTAAGCCGGTCGGGACGAGGGCTCAATTACAGAATTTTAACCTAAATGTAACCTTTTTCACAGTAAAAGGACTAATAAATAAAATAAATTACCTGACACAGCAGCAAGTCCCAATATAAGGATCACAAAGGCACGCATTTTGTTGACTGCGGCAAACAATAATAACAAATTATTCACAAATCTGTATTTATATAGTTGAAGCAATCAATCAATTATCAAATTTTATAATCATAATTTACAATACTACTTGTTTTATCTACTAGTTGATAAATAAATTAGAATATATACAATGTGTCCGGGCATGTAGTGATCAAACTTTAAGAGCGAAATTTAGGGACAATTTTATCGATAAAAATACTTCAAATTTGGGGCTTGACCCATTTATCGCAAAATTACAAGGATTTAAGTTTTTAATTTTTAGTTTTTACCTCTTCCTTCAAAAACAAGTGAAAGCGTGGGTAGCTTAACATTAATAAGCAAATATTTTATATCATGCGATAGCCAATAAAATTATCTTTTAGTAAAAGCACAGAATAATAATGTAAAAGTAGAAAACAGACACAAGTTTGACAAATTGGGGATGCAATTAGTGTCATAGCTCACGAGTGAGTACTGTCATCGGTTGCCCAACATAACATCTCGATGCGTGCGCTTCATATTATTCTGTGGCTCAACTTTCGCCTGGTGCAGCAGGCCAAATAAAAAGCCTAATAAAAGCCGGACAGGCCGGACAATACAATATTTGGCCGGACAAGACCGTAAAAGCCAAACATGTCCGGCTAAAGCCGGACGCCTAGCAACCCTAGTCCCAGCTAAACTGCAGGAGAGCCGACTGCAATAGTACGGACACGTTATGAGGCGACCACCCGACCATATGATCAGAAAAGTGCTAGACATCCAAACTCAACCCCGAGGACGAGGCAGACCCCGAAACACATGAATGTCAGTAGTAAATAAGGACTTTAAAGAGGCCCAAGTCAACAGTGAGACGACCCAGCACCAAGCCGCCTGGAGACGCATGATATGTGAGGGTCGACCCCAAATAAAATGGGAATGGGCCAGGCAAAGAAGAAGAAATAAATAAATTAAAATAAAATTGCATACGAACCTGGGATGGTTTTTTCACTCATACAGTAGTAAACTATTTGGATAAATTAAACTTAATATATTTTACATGTCATAAATAAAAATCTACCTAATGTATGTAACCCACCCGACAGTTTGGCTGGGGGATGATCTATTCCCCCGACAACAGTCCCGAAACATATTGTGGTAATGACGGGCCACTACAGAACCCTGCACTATGCGCGGCACGACAAACTTGGCCCGTTTTTTATCTGTACACTTGCTTTGTTATAATATTCAGTCAATTATTAAAACTCCAGGATCTCTTGTTATGATCAGTAGGTAATAATAGTAAACCTACACATGTCATAATATTACATTATACGAGAATGCTTTCCGGTGAGGGAGCACCTATAAACGAGTGTAGTTGGGATTCAAACTCGCTAAACTAATAATCTGAGAGAGAAAAAATTATATACAGGGTGTTAGGTAAATGGGTATATGAGCCGACACTAGCCCATGTTAACATGGTCATATAAATGGTATGGTGAAGTACGAAAATTGATATCTTAATTTTAATTATTTTATTTTTCATACAAATCCGATTTTATAAAATTTATTTTGTATGAAAATTTAAAAAAATTAAATGATGATATCAAATTTCTGACTTCACCATACCATTTATAATGGGCCACATTAACATGGGCTAGTGTCGGCTCATATACCCATTTACCTAACACCCTGTATAGTTATAGTAAATTAAATGGTCAGGAACACATCAAAACATGTTTTGTTGGACAGTTGAATAATATAATTATAAAAAACTTATTATTTAACTTTAAAACATCTTTTTTTTTATATGATAGGAGGCAAACGAGCAGACGGATCACCTGATCATAATTATTACTTTGTGTAAGAATAAACATTTTAGGCATTTTGCGAAATCCAGTTAATGTATCGAGACACACGAGTGTTGACGCCAGGAAACTGTGGCCAACCACAGCCAAATCCCCAAGAGCTAACGCCGACGACCACTCCGTTGTGGAACAGCGGGCCACCGGAGTCGCCCGAGCACTGGTCGCGCCAGCCTACGTCCAGCCAGCCGGAGCACAGCTGATTGTCAGTGATGACAGCGTTAAAACCCGTATAACGCTGCCTACAAACTTCTTGGTTTATTGTCCATATCTGGACATGACGCAGTTCCTCAGAGCCCGGCCCAGTCATCTGTATGAAAAACCAAAAGCAATCATTAGCTATTCCACAGTACCAATGATTTCATGACACTGTCATGGTTTAATATGAGCTTAATAAAAATTTACATCTACTTACGCTAGTTGAACCCCATCCCGTAGCCCAGACTTCTTCGTTGTCAGCAAGATTGTAGTTGGCACCAGCGAACAGTCCCGGCTGCACGTTATTTGTACCGATGGGGATGGCGGTGGTGGTGTGCACAATGGCAATATCATTATCAATGGTGATGCCATGAAAGTTGGGGTGGTTGAAAATCTGCTGAGTATCGAGCACAGTACCATTGCTGTGTGCGTAAGTGGATCCTACACGAAAGCGGAAGTTCAGATTGGCACGGTTTCTGAAATTAATAAAGGTATTGTAAGTGAAATGATCCCCATTACCAGAACTCTTTTACTAAGGATGCTCATTACATGATTACTTAAAATTGATTTGCTCAAGATTCAGGGAAAAATGAAAACCTACACGGTGCAGTGAGCAGCGGTGAGGATCGCCCGGTTGTTGAGGATGCTGCCGCCACACCACTGCCTGTGGTTGACGTTAGTCTCCGAGAACAGCACAGCGACCATCTCTGGGTATAAGCTAATGTCAGTGATTGACCCTCCTATAATTCGGTGGTCATTTCTGGGGGCAGCTGAAAAGAGATTTTTATTTCTCATCAATTATTGCGTTACTAAAATGGAACTCAAAAACTGTTTTAAATCACCTAAGGTGCGGTTCGATGTGCTTCAGGGGTGAAGTTAAGTTTATACAGGGTGTTAGGTAAATGGGTATATGAGCCAATACTAGCCCATGTTAACATGGGCATATAAATGGTATGGTGAAGTCAGAAATTTGATAACATCATTTCATTTTTTTTAATTTTCATACAAAATAAATTTTATAAAATTTTGTATGAAAAATAAAATAATTAAAATGAAGATATAAATTTTCTGACTTCACCATACCATTTATATGACCATGTTAACATGGGTTAGTGTCGGCTCATATACCCATTTACCTAACACCCTGTATAGTCATCATAATTTCAGTAATAGAACGTTCACCGCTGAAAATGAGCCATCTCAGCGTTTTCCTACAACCTCTATGAGGTCGTCTGTCCACCTTGCCACCTTGTCCACTTGGTGGACGTCTCACCGGTCGGAACGAGGCCTCAATTCCAGAATTTTAACCTAAATGTAACCTTTTCCACAGTAAAAGGTGTAATAAATAAATTGAATTACCTGACACGGCAGCAAGTCCCAATATAAGGATCACGAAGGCACGCATTTTGTTGACGGCGGCAAACAATAGTAACAAATTATTCAAAAATCTGTATTTATATAGTTGAAGCAATCAATCATTTATCAAATTATGTAATCATTATTTACAATTACTACTTGTTTTATCTTAGTTATGTGGATAAATATTGATATACGAGCCTGAGATGGTTTTGCCAAGGTTTTTCCACTCAGTAGCAGCAAAGTATTTAGATAAATTAAACTTTTTACATGCACGTCATAAATAATCTAATGTTTTCAAAGTATGTAAGTCACTCGAGAAGGTATGTAGAATTTTTTAATGTTGGATAGTCGTAATTGGCCTACAAAATCTTACTAAACACATTGTTATACAAATTGATATTGTGCTGTCTACTATCCTTAAATAAATAAATAAAAGTCCTACCTACCTAAATCTACCCGACACATTCGGCCCGGAGGATGACCTCCCGACAACGTTCCCAAGTGTACGCCACGAAATATACTCGGCATCAAATAAATCGCACCTCCCGCGACAAGCACTTATCAAACGTATGCATCCCCACTTCCCACCAACCATGGTACCATTTGAAAGTCTAGTTCTAAACTTCATTTCATTAAAGGAAAGGTTTTACCCCAAAAATGTGTCTTTAAAAGGATCCAGAGTCACTTTTTCAAAAAATAGGTAGTTACGCTTGAGCCAACTTTTATGGCTATGAAACTGATAAATTGCTATCCATCTGTTTAAAAGGACACGTAAGATCATTATTTGGTTTTATAACCACAAAAATTGGTATACTTGATCCCAGAGGTGAGCCCCAAGTGAGGCCTTTTTTCAATTGTTTATAAAAAAAATGTGTTTTTCTTTAAATTTATTTATTGGGCTTTCAAATAACACCAATATTTTAGGGGTACGATGATTGTGTCAGAAGAAAATCTGTAAAGTTCGCGTCGCGGAAGCTGCGATTTATTTGATGTTGAGTGTATATTCACGCGCTAGCTTCGACGCGGGCTCGCTTCCACATAGCCACTTCGTTAAATGGGATAAGTTTGTACGTGAATGTAGATTAATTTGTATATCTATTTATAGCAGATAAAAAATATTAAATATTGGTAAATAAAAAAAAACTATGGAGAACTTTCTATGGAGGATGTATTTTGTTATATTAATATTCAATAATTCTTAAAATTCCAGCTTCTTGACTATTAACTATTAAAATGATCAGATAATAATAGCAAACCTACGTATAAAAATAATGTTTTTCCTGTACAGAATGCACCAAACAAGTATCGCAGATTTAAGTTTTATTTCACCTTCTGAAAGATAGTTAAATTTTTATTGCTTCATATTGTTATATGAATACAAGGGATTCAAGCTCTATAAACTAAAGATCTGAAAGTGAAAAATACTATAAATAGTAAACCGGTCAGGAAAAAATCAGAACATGTTTTATTGGACAGATGTATAATTTAATTAGAAACTTAGTATAAACTTTATAAAAATCAGATATTACTTTCAGTAAGTGTAATAAACATTTTAGGCATTTTGCGAAATCCAGTTAATGTATTGAGACACACGAGCGTTGACGCCAGGGAACTGTGGCGAAGCACAGCCAGCTCCCCAAGAGCAGACGCCGACGACCACTCCGTTGTGGAACAGCGGGCCACCAGAGTCGCCGGTGCACTGGTCGCGACCGCCCACGTCGAGCCAGCCGGAGCACAGCTGGTTGTCGGTGATGACAGCGTTAAAACCCGCATAGCGTTGCCTACAAATTTCTTGGTTGATTGTCCATACCTGGACATGACGCAGTTCCTCAGAGGTTCCTCCCATCTTTATGAAAAAAGAAATAAAACATTAGCTACTCCACGATACTAATGATTTCGTGAAGATTAATAAATGAACTAAGACAAAAAATTAAATCTACTTACTTCAGTGACACCCCATCCTGCAGCCCAGACTTCTTCGTTGTCAGCAAGGTTGTAGTTGGCACCAGCGAACAGTCCCGGCTGCACGTTGGTGGAGCCGATGGGGATGGCGGTGGTGGTATGAATGATGGCAATATCATTATCTATGGTGAAGCTATCATAGCTCGGATGGTTGATAATCTGCAGGACATTGAGTGTCGTGCCGCCAGTGCTCACATAAGTGGATCCTACACGACAGAGAAAGTTCGCAGGGACGTAGTCACTGAAAAAAAACTTCAAATCTTAATTTTCTTTGTTTGACGAATAAACTTATGGGATAGTTATTAAGAAAAGATAAGATGTGAAGACGCATACTTTAATATAATGACATAAACTCACATGGTGCAGTGAGCAGCGGTGAGGATAGCGCGGTTGTTGAGGATGCTGCCGCCACACCACGTTCTGTGGTTGACGTTAGTCTCGGAGAACAGCACAGCGACCATCTCCGGGTATAAGCTAATGTCAGTGATTGATCCACCCACAATTCGATGGTCATTTTTGGGGGCAGCTGCAAAGAGATAGATTTAATATCAGTTACGTATTGCGTTGCTAAAACGGAACTCTAATATTTAACATAAAGGTACAAAGTAGATATCAATACGGCGATTGAGTAAAAGAGATTCAGAAAGTCTTTTGATTCAAGACAATTAATTGCAATTAGTACCCATAATGAACATTTCACAAGTGACTTAGGTTTTTTTTAATCACAACGGTGAAACTCTTGACATGCATCTTACTAGATTTAAAACCAAGCCGAAGTAAAAGCGAGCTTTACTCAGAATCCTGAACCACAGAGTTTCTTATCTACAACTGCTGAAATGCTTTTAACATTGTGTTACTTACGCCGATAGTTATGTACTTATTATAGTTAGTTCTAAATGATAAGTATTTCCGATATTTTAACTTAAGGCCAACTAAGTCACCCGTAGTTTTATTTCATTGTTTTGAACCTTAGAATTATACACAAACAAACATATAAGTCTAATCGCAATTTTGGCTCGAGATTATAGTATTTTTGGGAATGTTTTGATTTTTGTATTCCTTCATAGGTATAGTTTCCTGCGATTCGATGTGCTTCAGGCGTGATGTTAAGTTATTCTTTAATGTTCATAGTCATCATAATTTCAGACACAGGATGTCCACCGTCAGGCCCCTCTTTCCCACTGGGCACTTTGGGCACGTGCCCAGGGCCCCGCGACCGAGGGGGCTCCCATCTGCTAATATGACCTTTTCCAGATGATAAGGGCCCCCCTTAATCCTTAAATGCCCAGTGTCCCTAGTAGGTTAAAGACGGCCCTGATCATTGCCAGCGGTGGACCACCGCTGAACAAAGGCCTCCACCAATGGTTTCTAGATTGGCGGCCTACATCCAGAATGATCCTGCCGATAAACACGATTCTAGAACCTTTTTCATGCAGCACAAAGCAATTAAATGAAAACAAATGCACCTGATGTTAATTAAGTGAAATCTAGGATGGGACGTACGTGCCCTGTAAGAGCCTATTCACTCTCGCCTTGAAGAGGCCCGGACCTTTAAGCTTAACCTTTTTTTATTGTAAATAGTAAAAAATAAGGTGGAATATAATGTTAAATTCAATTACCTGACACAGCAGCAAGTCCCAATATAACGATCACGAAGGCACGCATTTTGTTGTCAGCAGCAAACAATAATAACTAATAATTCAAATATCTGTTTGTATTTATATAGATGAAGCAGTCAATCAATTATCAAATTTTATAATCATATAATTTACAATAACCATTTGTTTTATCTACTAATTAGTAGATAAATATTGATATACGATGCTGGGATGGTTTTCCCAAGGATTTTCCATTCTTAGAAATAGTGGCAAATAATTTCGTTTAATTAAACTTCTTGACATTGTTTCATGAATTTTAATCTTATGTAGTTGTAGGTACTCGACAGCTCGGCCCGTGGGAAGTTCTCCTCCAGACAACGTTCCAAGTTCCCGAGTTCTCGCGGTTCGCATGTTGAGCGGGATGAACGGGATGATTTTACGTTTTTAAGTGAATCTAGATTAATTTATTTAATAGTAAAAATGTGTACTGAACAATTAATTGCCATTAAGCAACTTATTTTTCAAGAAATGAAAAATTATCGTTAAAGATTGATAGATCGCTAAATGCGACCACAATTTCCAAAAATTGGCCAAGTGCATGTCGTGCCGGCGGCACGACATAGGGATGACTCTTAAACTAACTGATATATCTTAACCATTATAGTTTTCCTTGAAAGTTCATGAAAAGTAATATTATTACAAATTATTCCAGATTTTTCAAGCTAACAGTTTAGTTTTTAGAGGGGGGGACGCCCTACTCGAACAAAAATTGGCACTTTAAACTTTAATAATTTGCAAACAGATCTCTATATGTAAAAATAGTCTTAGAAACCCCTAAGCCATTTTAAAAGACCTATCTAATGCTACCCCACGCGATGGGGTAAAAGATGAAAAAAAAAATCCCTTTTTACATTTAAGGGAGATACCCTAAAAAATTTATTTTCAAATTTTTATTTTACCGTTTTGTCAACGTGATTAATTTACATATCTCCACAAAATTACAGCTCTCTAGTTTCCAAGCAAAACCTCGGACAGACAGACAGACATATCGAAACTATAAAGGTTCCTTGTCAGGACTACGGAGCCCTAAAAAGGATGCATTATTTTGAAAACATATTTTGAACGTCCAAAAGCATTTGATTAATATAACGCTTGTTTTTTCTAGACATGACGTGTCCGACCGTTCGACTAGCGTGTCGATAATTCTTACTTACTACTAACTTACCTACTAGTTAATCTGAACATAGAAAGTGTCAAAAATACTTTAGGTACACAATAACATTTGATCAGGGCCACATTAAAACACATTTTTTGGACAGTCGTTTAATATAAACATAATTATTATATTATTTTAAATGAGTGTGATCCGCAACGTTAAACAAAATCAATTTACGCGTTTGACGATATCCAGTTAATGAAAGAAGACACACGGGCGTTGACGCCAGGGAACCCTGGCAGAGCACAGCCATAACCAAAGGAGCAGACGCCGACGACCACTCCGTTGTGGAACAGCGGGCCACCGGAGTCGCCCTGGCACTGGTCGCGACCGCCCACGTCCAGCCAGCCGGAGCATAGCATGTTGTCGGTGATATCCCAACTCATACCGTTGGGCAACGCTGAATACCGTTGCCGACAAATCGCCTGGTTGATTGACCAAATTTGGACGTGGCGTAATTCCTCCGAATGAGATCCACTCATCTATAAAAAAAACAAAATAAAATGATTAACTTCTCCCGAAGGCTTCTATGTACTGTTAGACCAGCTATCTCATATTGATCGATAAAATATTATCATTATTTACGTAAGTACAAATTTTATGGACATTATAAAATCACCATTGCCATATCGTTCACTGTTAACTAGAAGTTAGAGCAAGTTAATCATACCGATTTACTGCTACAGATATTACTAGATTTTGCCCGCGACTTTGCCCGCATGAATTTAGTCATTATTTCCCCATACAAACTTTGGTTGGTCCCTCGTTTATCGAATCAGAAATGAGGAGATCCGTAAACAAACTAAAGTCGCTGACATCCCCCGACGGATTAGCAAGCTGAGGTGGTAATGGGCAGGGCACATAGAAAATTGGATGTTATATGCCACTTACCGAAATGGCACCCCATCCCGTAGCCCAAACTTCTTGGTTGTCAGCAAGATGGTAATTGGTACCAGAAAACTTGCCCGGCTGCACGTTGGCGCCGAAGGGGATTTCGGTGGTGGTGCGGATGATGGAGATGTCATAGTCGAAGCCGTACTCATTGTAATTGGGGTGATTGATAATCTGCTGGGTGACGAGAAGAGTGCCGTTGAAGTGTACATGAGTAGATCCTACACGACTGATGAAGTTCGAATTGGCACGATTGCTGAAATTAAATAGCATTGTAAATTAAATTATTCCACCTCTTTTACTATGAATGCTCATTGCATGATAACTTAAAATTGACTTGATCAAGATTCACAAACCAACGAAACCTACCACTGAAAAAAGTAATTACAACGTTGAAGATAAATCATGCGCTAGAAAAGATATGTTATTCTTTAATATAATAAGATAAGACAAATGGGGAACCAGACGCAGGTTAGCGTACCATCCCTGTATTGTTGACATTCCACCAGCTCGCACTAAGCGTTTCGATGACTCTTTTATAATGCGAACTGCTAGGGACTGGAATTCGTTGCCTGCTGCTGTCTTTCCCGAAAACTATAATCCGGGCCTCTTCAAGGCGAGAGTGAATAGGCACTTACAGGGCAGATATGTACCATCCTAGACTGCATCCCACTTAACATCAGGTGCGATTGTGGTCAAATACCTGCCTTGTTATGCATAAAAAAAAATAAACAGAAGACTCACTAGGTGCAATGAGCTGCGGTGAGGATCGCACGGTTGTTGAGGATGCTGCCGCCACACCACACCCTGTGGTTGACGCTAGTCTGGGAGAACAGCACTGCGACCATCTCCGGATACAGGCTAATGTCGGTGACTTCCCCACCCACAATTCTGTTATTTTTAGGGGCAGCTGAAAAGAAATTAGAGAGTAGTTTGACGTCAATTATTGCATTACTAAAAATTGATATTATCCCCAATCACTGTTTCAGACCACCCAAGTTTCAAATAATACGCAGCACTACTTTGATTAAAAATAATGAGACTTGCAAATTTTATGAAAGAACACGTCGGAAATCGCTTTCAAATATTTGCCTAACCAGTGCTTATAATATTAAATGAGGAACCCGCAAATACCTATAGGTAAAATGTAGTTACTCTAGCTTTAATTTTATATTTCATGGAATACGACATGGTTTGAATTATTAATATTAATAATACCTGACACAGCAGCAAGTCCCATAATAATTAACACGAAAGCACGCATTTTTACTGAGTTAATGGCAAACAATATACAATTACTAATAAATTATGCTAAATTTTGTTACTTTATATACATATACAGCAATCTTAACTGGGACAATTATAGTGATAATGAGATTAAAAATTCCTACAAAATAACTAATTAACTTTCTATTATTTTAGATAATCGAGCCAGCATGGTTTTCCCACGAAGGATTAGCCCATCGGCCACCTATGATAATATCGATTTTATTTGGGGGAAGACCCATGCCAGCCAGTATTCAATGGGCCAGTGCTAAGAAGAAGCAGCGCAAGAAACTCAGACACTATTGTCAGCCTCCTTTTCAAGGGTTTACAGTTTTTAAAATATACATAGTTATAAATATTTATGCGAACTAGGCAGTTAACATTCTTATAATCATCTACTTTATAGTAGCCCTTTTTCATAAAGGTGCTTTTAATGTGCTTTAAATTACTACTGTACCTGTCATACATTCTATGGTAGTTGATAAAAATGGCCGCCAATCCAAGATTTTTCTAAAGCAAACCGAGAAGTATTCGTACGATTCCATTACCTTTTTTTAAAGGACATGACGTGTGCTTGTGAATTTTAACCGACTTAAAAAGGAGGAGGTTCTCAATTCGAGTATCCGAACTTGAGAACTCGAGATTCGAACTCCGATTTCCAAAATTGATTTTTTACGCGTAAGAAGTTGCTGGCACTCCTAGTACCGTAATCATTATGTGGGAAATTATATAGAGTTCGAATATCCAATCACTCAGCAAAATAATCTGAAGAGTGCTCATTTATGTGCTGTAGTAAAGATTGGGGTACCACCACGTATGATCGGCTAAAGGTCATAGCACACCTATCAACTCGGAAAGGGATCAACACCGTATCGCCTTTCCCCGCCGCTGTAAACCGCGAGGCGAGGCATTACGGTGCGGATAACTGTGTGTTGCAGTACGGAGTTTCATACAAAGAACACTGACCGCCTCAAGTTGATACGGTTACGATCCGTTTCCGGGTTGATAAGTGTGCTTCGTCCTTAATAATAATTTGATGTGATACGTTTTTGTTTTGTTTCACCCCTTATCACCTTTATGGAGTAGGTGGGACCGACTTTACCATCGATTTTGTCCGCTAATAAAAGTAGCGTAAGTCATGAAATTTTATTCTGATTTAATTGCTATTATTGAACAGCAGAGTGGTTTATTATTCAAACGTTTATTTTTCACCGAAAAATGCTTAGATTTCATTGTTACGTTACGTGTTTACGGGAGGTACACCAGAATGCTGGCAATAAAAATAATTAAATCATTTTTGAAAATATATTTGGTCGAAATCATTTACAGTTTTCAGTATCTTTACAATAGTATCACACATTATATGCCTCAGTACATCAGTGGTTGTCCTGTCAAAGACTCGCTGCCGATGGGGCAATAAAACCTGGGACTGCGAAGAAGTCAAAAATTGTGTTCTAAGCATTTCCCACCGTGATATTAAAGCATTCATTGACTGGACTTTAAAGCGTACGGATAAAATGATAATTTTTCGATAATTACTTCTAATGATAACGAAAGCTTAAGATGGTTTTCCCATTAACGGTTTTTCCATTCATAATACCTAAATAATAGTAATTCAGATAGATTATCGGCTATCAGATTTCAGTGACGCATCTAAGCTTTCGCTATCTTTCCTACTTCGTACTTATCTACGCTAATATTTTATAGAGGAAAGATTAGACTGTTTGTTTGTATTGAATAGGCTCCGAAACTACTGGACCAGTTTGACAAATTCTTTCACAATTAAAATCCTACATTAATCCTGAAGAACATAGACATGGCAAACAAGTTTGTCATGTCTATTGTGACTAGCCTGAGATGCTGGGAAAGAGTTGAGAGTAGGTACCTATAGGAATTAATTAGGTTTTAAACCTTTGTTTGTCACCTGTCATCCGCTTTGCAATGGAGGGAAGTCGAACCTTCATTTCGAACTCCTCCTATGTTCTTCTGATTAATTTCGTTGCGGGTCCAATGACAGTTTAACTTTCCCCCGGGACAAACTTGACCTTCATTGGTTGGGTTTTTGTGGCGGTCAAGCTGTGGATCCTGGCTGCACAGGAGTTGCAGTGGTGGGAACGAGGGGTGGGAATAGTCCCGTACCTATAGGAAAACGATGGTGTGGAGCCAGCATAAAAGCTCATTGGACTCACTGATTAAGGTGACCTCTTAAGATGTCGTGTATGAATTTGAAGCAATGAGGTCACATCAACGCGTGCTCTCATTGTTTGTGGTGATCTATGCACGTGCAATGATCGCCACCGCCATCGTCATCAGTGACGCGGTATGCACGTGTTAGATTTCATGTTAAATCTAACACACGCGTTGGTTTGGTCGAAACTTTAGAGAATGGATCATAATTATTTCATTCCACTGGTAGACATTTAGTCCAATACGGAAACCAGCATAATCGTATTAAATAATACTACAATAGATTACACCTAGTATTATCTTGAAAATATAGGTAAGTCCTCTTTTTGTGCTGGGTATTTACACGTCGTGTATTAAGCAGAGCATTATCTAATTTACTAGAGCGATAACGAATCACAATAAATAATAGACTTTTAACACTTTAATTAATTAACCATTAGGTATGTATTCATGGTTGTGATTTTTTGAGGTATAGTGTGATCTAATTTTGCAACTTCGAAAATCTTGTACGTATGCGAAGCACATGTTTTCTATATTTAGAACATTTTCAGTTATCGCTTTTTGAGATAATGATAAGATTTCTTCATCAACAAAATAGGGCGTCAAACCTAAATCGAAATATAGTAAAAGTTGTTTTAGTTGTCATGTAACAATAGTTGCGATTAAAATGCACTCCGGTGATAGAGGATCATAGTAATCAGCAAGTAATACCTTAAGATGATCCATAATCATATTTGTGCTCACCATTTAGAGCTACTTATTTGGCTCTAGTAAACGACTAGGGACGTCCTCCCACAAGGTGGACCGACGACATCATAAAGGTAGCAGGAAAGCGCTGGACGCAGGCCGCTACCAACCGGGTAACATGGAAGGCATGGGGAGGCCTATGTTCAGCAGTGGACGTGAGATGATGATGATGATGATGAGGAAACGACTAGGGGCAAACCTCTATCCTGCAACATTTGTGAGGTCTGCGGTGCGCTTGCCGGTACGTTGCCTCCAATCCAGAACCTTGTTGCCCCATCGGCCGTCAGTTCTGCGTGCAATGCGCCCCACTTCAGTTTGATAATCCGTTATGCCGCTGCCAACCGGCCAATCTGAAAATCATTGGGGGAGGCCTATGCTGAGCAGTAGACATCCTGTAGCTGAAATGATAATTTGATGTAACCTCAGTCACTAGGGACGCCAACTAGTGAGTAGAAATACGATAATAACCCTCATTACAACTGTTTTATTGTAAAAGCGAGTTCTTAATACTTACTAATAATTCACAAAATAACAATGATTTTCTTCAGGAAATTCATAAAGTACCTATTTGATCAGTGGGGTTTTCCCAAATACATGAATTAATATTTAGGAAACTGATATTATTATGATAATTTGGAGATAAAAAGCAAACTTCTTCGTAATATCTTAATAATAAAAATCCAAAATTTATCTGATAACTTAGTAAAAAGTAGATTAGCTTATCAGCTGTTTGTCTGATGTTACATAAAAACATCAGTTACAAATACTTATAAATTAAAACAATAAACTAAAAACAAAGCCTTAATTTTATTCTAATATTTGCCTTAAACCTTGAAATTACCAAAAAATCTTAAGAATGAAATAAATGAATTGCATTATTATTTGGCGTTACGCTGTTTTCAAAGTTGTACTTATGATAAAATATTAAAATTAATGTAAAATGATTTTAATTGTAAAAAGATAACGAACTTCAAAAAAAAATTCAAGAATACTGTAATGCCTACTTTTAGTCCTATTATTATTTTATAAATAAATCAAGTGTATATGTTACGGTCAAAGTGATAAATGTGAAAATTATGAATAATCGCCGGTTATTATGAATAATTACCGCATGATTTGGTTAATGTGATTAATATGAGGTCATTTATGTGTGTATAAAACTAAATAGGCGGCTTAGGGGTGCCCCAGGGCCCCCCCCCGCCGCATCTTAACCTATTTTTCACTTTAAATCAAAAAATTATGTTATAGGCATCATGGAAAAGTAATATTATGCAAGAAACATTCCAAACTCATTATGCCAAATTATATTAATGTATGATATCAAAACGTTCAAAAGTTTGGCTGTACACGAGCACGTACACAAGATGTTGTTCTCTTTTAAGAAATTTGTTAGTACTAAGGTTGGATTATTAAATAATCACTGTTAAATGTGATTAATTTATCACTTTTACCGCGACTGTCGGTAATTATTCATAATAACCGGTTATTATTAATAATTTTCAATTTATCACATTAACCGTAACATATATATCTTTTAAATTCATAAATGAAAGATCACTATGTACTGTCCTAGTAATAAATGTATTACTGCGAGTTGCGAGATTTAGTCAAAGTTAGATTCAGCATAGTAGCAATACTAGCAATCAGCAATTTCAGTCAAAGGGAACAGAGAGGTATGAGAGGGCGAAGCCAGAAGAGCTTTGAATTGAAAACGAAAACGCAAATGCTTCAAAATACGTAAGCTATGTTGGGTTCAGCTTCAAACAAAGATCAGAATCGCAGGCCATGTACAAAATAACCTTAAACCTTATTTAATTTTATGATCTTAACAGTCATTTACTCTCTTTATTTATTTGTGTAATACAGTTTTCTAGTAAGAGCTTAAAATCAGTGTTCTGCAGTTTTAGGCAGTGTTTGATACACTTTTTAGGTATTTGCTTTTTTGCATAGATTTTATAGGGGAAGTAAAAGTATATTGTATCAAAAACATGACATCCAATGTTCACCAACTAGGAAGGAACAAAAAATCTGTCACATAATTAATTTAAAACTAATTAAGTTTACCAAATATGAAGTACCTACCCAAAGTACTCAATTCTAGAAACACATAATTATGTAAAACTCAATAAGAAACTACACTAGACACACAAATGAGTTAGCACTTCCCACACTGGAAATAAAATCTAATCAATAAATTTCATTGTACTTAACTAACTTTATTTCTAGCCAGTTAAATAACGAGCTGCTCATTCTTATTGTTCCAATAACACCATGCTCGCACAAGGCAACAATGAAATTCGTTTCTATACGGGCAACATTTGTATTCAGCGAGCGTGGGTCCCACCGAAAACATATCTACCGCCGAAATTCCGTGCGTTTAGGGTTACCAGGTCCAAAAACACAAAACCCGGACTCTGTGCTTAATTTGGCCGGACATTTTTACCCTAAAACCCGAACATACCTTTTTTAACAGGTAAGTGCTATGTCACGGATGTCACTAAAAATCAATATTGTGCAATAAAAATCCTAACAAAAACTGGACAGGCTGGACAAGACGATATTTGGCCGGACAATTGAGAATGTTACTAGGTATGCAAAATCACTTGAAACCTATGTTACAGTTAAGCTTTTACATTTACAAATACATTAGTTTTTATTTCATTCAAAAATACCCAGTAGTTATGATTTTATAGGCATTCAAAGTTCGCTTAAATATTGAGTCCCGCCGACGGTCACGTGACCCCGTGTGACGTACATTCACAGCGTCCGCTCACTAGAAAACGGATATAAACATACTTAAATACATTTTTTTTTGTAAATACAAACTTATTATACATATTAACACCCAGACCCATCACAGAAATTAAAATTGAACCAAACCCAAACTTGATGCGATTGTGTCGTTTTAATGCGAATTACCTTCCAGCTCCATCATTAGACTCCGATTACTATCTAGAATTAAAATACTCATCAATACAAAACGAACGAGCCCAAACTCGATGCATTTAAGTCGTTTTATTATAGAGTTCCTATGGCCACCTTCCAGGTCCATCATCAGATCAGCTCCATGTCATCATAATATTGCATGGTCATCCAAATCACATGTGTTTGCGAAATTTCAGCTTAATCGGTTGCCTGGAAGTGGGTCTTAATTCAGTTTGCAAGATTCCACCCATACAAATATGAGCCAGTCGTTGTAATATGACGTCACAAGCATAAAATGGCGGGCCGGCCGCCGCCCGCACTTTTAAAATTCAATATCTTGGAAACTAATTGACGTATCGAAATAATTCTTTCACGTGTATTTTTTATTTTTAACAGAGAATACAGAAAGCTAAAAAACAAAATTAGTGAACATTCTTCATTCCGTAAAAAGCCAAACATGGCCTGACACCTGGCAACCCTATGCGTTACCACTACAGGAAATGTCACATAAATAGATTACTTTAACACTTCCTAGGGCTATTTATGAACCCTAATAATCAAACTGCATTTGTTAGTAGATACCAAAAAATTCTGTAAGCTCCCATACTTCCTATCATACTTTTCAGAATTGATAAGTTATGAAGTAAGACTCGTGTTTAGGGTACGGAAAATCTTTTGATTTACATATTTCTAGCGTTTTAAATAATCCCTGAATCAATATTTTATATATTTCCTAAATAGCATCGGATTTGTATACATTTTCTAGGAATGTATGAATGTATGAATTCTAGGAATTGTATATGTCACCGGAAAATAACAAGACTCGTAAGTTGATCAATTTTCTAGGTAGTTGATCAACTCTCGGAAAATAATAAACGGCATTTGAAATGTACTATTTAACGTATGTATTTTAGTAAGTTGATTAATTTACGGCATCTTGCCGTTAAATCATCCGACAAAGGCAAGGTGCACGTTGATTGGTTAAAAGACTCACGTGCTTTTGTACCGCTCCCCGCCACCCTAATAATAATAATATACAATTCCTAGGAAATGTATACAATTCCTAGAATTCATACATTTCCTATAACATGTATACCTAGAAATTGTCCTCAACCTCCATTTTACACTGACATCATATTTATTTATTTATTTATTTATTTATTTATTTATTTATTTATTTATTTATTAAAGACGCAAAACAGATTACAATTAAGGTTTCACAAATTATATAGCACGTAAGCTTATGGACTAAATTGTAACCTAACAACATGCATCCTATAAAGTATAGGTTAATAATGAATGTTACATCAAAACTTCAAAAACTCAGTTTACATTTTACGTTTTACAGAAAATTAAAAAAATTGTTATTCATAATGTGTGCCTAATAACAGGTATGTAACTATGTACCTACTTAATTACTTTTAAACTTGGCTGCTGGAGACATGAAATAAAATACACTCGTATTATTTTGATACAGCGGTACTTTTATTATTTTTTTCATAACAAACGACAGCTGACTGTATATTATTATTATTTTTAGAAAGATAATGCAATCTCTTTGGTGTTATTCTATAAAAACACTGAGCTTCAAAATGTATTTTTTTCTCCCTACTTTCAGTTATTCAATAATGCAAAAGATAGTGCTACACGCTTATACATAATATAAACATGCAACTTAGATCATGCTCGAGACAACATAGCATAATAAAAACTATACAAATTATTTATTATAATGTCATGACCAAAGCTTTTAATATCACAAAAGCCTAGGCATTGCTAGCGATCCAATTGGCATAGTTGGATACGCGAGTGTTGACTCCAGGGAACTGAGGGCTTCCACAGCCGATTCTCCAGGAGGTGATGCCGACGACCACGCGGCCGTGGAAGACCGGACCACCCTCGTCGCCATAGCACTGATCGCGACCGCCGAAGTCTAGCCAGCCGGCACACAGCATGTTGTCGGTGACAGCCAAGTTGGCCATAGCATACCGCTGTCTGCAGACGTTCAGGTTGACAGTCCACATCTGCACCTGCTGCAGCTGCTCGGTAACTTGTCCAATTTGCTACAATAAAAGTAAAATACACATAAGTCGTCTTGTATGAGTTATGGAAAATGAATCGTTTACCCTTGATCAGATGATATCATATTTTAATCAATATTATATTATTATGAACTACATTAGTTACAACATTTTTCACTGATATGAATGTGACTAAAAAGGAGCGAGAAAGACTAACCCTAGGTTGCACCATAGCAAAAGTCAAAAGTCTGTCAAACTCCATACAAAACCACCCATTAAAGTACAATTTAAAGTAATGCAACTCAATCTTTGAGATTTGCTGTAATTTAAGGTCTCTGTGGTTCAAATATTTATTTTCCTGGCCACAATTGTTGACCAACTCAGGATTTTTAGTTTAGGAAAAAACCTGTCCCGATTTAAAGGTAATGAATGATATCCACTTGCATTAATACGACCCCATCCCACAGCGATGACCGGCGAGTTGTCAGGAAGGACGTAGTTGGGTCCACTGATGCTGCCAGGGATGACGTTGTTGTTGCTGGGAAGATTAGCCGAGGTGCGGATGAGAGAGATGTCGTTGTCCCTGGTGAACGGGTTGTACTGCGGGTGGGCGATGATCTGCTGGGTGTTGACCACGGTGCCGCCGCTGTTGGCGAGAGCTGATCCCACACGGGTTCGCCATCTGTTTATGCCAGATCCGCTGGAAAGAATAACGTATGTTTTGTTATATTTTTGACCAGCTTAAAATTTTATAAGTTTTTAATGCGGTTAAAAACGACTTAATTTTGTCAGCATCTTAGTTTTTTGTATGTGATATTGCATGAAACTCACAGAGTACAGTATGCAGCGGTGAGGATCACTCGTCTGTTAAGGATGGTGCCTCCGCAGAGTTGTCTATGGCCAGAGTTGGTAGCGGAGTACAGCAAGGAGGCCATCTCCGGGTATGCGGCAATGGTGGCCGCAGACCCACCAATGATCCTCGAGCTGGGGGCAGCTAGAATGATTTAGGATAGGAATTAAGATAAGCTTAGAAAATCAGATCTTCATATAACCATATTAATATAGGTGCTTTAAAAAAAAATTGTTGGAAAAAAATCTAAAACACCCGTTTTCATACAAACTTGAAAATTGAATAACTTGAAAAATATTACAGTTAGACCTCCATTTTAAGGCTTTTTCTCGATATTTTTTCATGATTTTGGGCGGTTACTTGCGCCTGGGCGACCTTGTATTATGCCCCTACACTATCTATATCTTCTATTATATAAAAGAAAGTCGTGTTAGTTACTCCACTTATAACTCAAGAACGGCTTAACCGATTCAGCTGTTTCTAATCTCTGAATCGCCCCCCAAAAGATACTGCACTACCTAATACTTAAATGCAGGACTCGGAGGTGAACTGTAAGGGCGCCTTTAAAATAGGCGTTTTCTAACGGACGTTAGTCGTCCGTTTGCAAGACTGCACCACACTAACTGTTGTCATAGAATTTCCGTATGCGGTCCTGCAAACGCACGTCTAACGTCCGTTTCGAAACGCCTAATTTTAAAGCGCCTTAAGGAAAACAGTGGCGATCACAATAGATCGATACCGGCCACAGTGATACTAGGTCTTTCTAGAATATTAGCTAATAGATATAGAATTATCACAACAAAAATACCGTATCTTTAGCCTCTTTAATATAGAATCCTTCGTACCTGACACAGCAGCCAGCCCCACAATAAACAGTGACAGTACAGATGAAACACGCATCTTGACGGCAGCAAATGTATTGTGTATCTATCCACAAACTCACAACTATAAGTATTTATAATCAATAGATAATAAACAAAATCGGATGATTCACAATGATAAAATAAGGATAATGACTTACATTGAAAACAAGTTGATTAGAATTTAATTCTTTCAACCAAGATTAGAGTGCCAACAAGTGTATAAAGATTAGTTGTTTTTATACAAAAAAATAAGAAAATAACACGTTTTCATAATCAGCTGCCTGAACGTGAACTTGATTGATAATGCCATTGATTTTTTATTAACAAAAACTAGCTTTGTATAAGTTGGAGTAGATTCATTTTGGGTAAACAATCACTATAAAGTAGGAGGCAATAACACTTACACTGGTTAAAAAGACTACTTGCAAGACAAGACGGATAAATACTTTGTTGTTTGTATAATGAATACAACTTTTAATGTGAAAGTTCCTAAAGTTGACAGTAATTTTTAAAATATGCAATATCTAATTGAATCACGAGTACGAAGAGCCTAAGTGGCACATACATAAATAAATAAATTAGTCATAATTGTCCTGGTAGATAATCAGTTACTTTTAAGATAATACGCGGAAACACCCCTATCCATCAACAACTTGTCAAAAGTGATGCTTTAATGAATGATAAATATCTTCAAGACCTCATTTTATTGAAAAAAGAAAATAGAACTTAAGTAATTCTAATCTGTACACTAACTAGATGAAAAAATCTTGCAAACTGGGTCAATATATAAATATTATTTACAATTACTCAATAATGCAAAAGATCGTTCGTTCGTTCGTTAACATTTATTATTTTATTGTCATGGTCAAAGCTTATAATATCACAAAACCCTAGGCATTGCTAGTTATCCAAGCGGTGTAGTTGGATACGCGAGTGTTGACTCCAGGGAACTGAGGGCTTCCACAGCCGATTCTCCAGGAGGTGATGCCGACGACCACGCGGCCGTGAAAAACTGGACCGCCCTCGTCGCCATTGCACTGATCGCGACCGCCGACGTCTAGCCAGCCGGCACACAGCATGTTGTCGGTGATGGCCAAGTTGGCCATAGCATACCGCTGTCTGCAGACGTTCAGGTTGACAGTCCACATCTGCACCTGCTGCAGCTGCTCGGTAACTTGTCCAATTTGCTACAATAAAAGTAAAATACACATAAGTCGTCTTGTATGAGTTATGGAATTTGCCGCACTAATGAATCGTTTACCCTTGATCAGATGATATCATATTTTAATCAATATTATATTATTATGAACTACATTAGTTACAACATTTTTCACTGATATGAATGTGACTAAAAAGGAGCGAGAAAGACTAACCCTAGGTTGCACCATAGCAAAAGTCAAAAGTCTGTCAAACTCCATACAAAACCACCCATTAAAGTTCAATTTAAAGTAATGCATCTTTGAGATTTGCTGTAATTTAAGGTCTCTGTGGTTCAAATATTTATTTTCCTGGCCACAATTGTTGACCAACTCAGGATTTTTAGTTTAGGAAAAAACCTGTCCCGATTAAAAGGTAATGAATGATATCCACTTACATTAATACGACCCCATCCCACAGCGATGACCGGCGAGTTGTCAGGAAGGACGTAGTTGGGTCCACTGATGCTGCCAGGGATGACGTTGTTGTTGCTGGGAAGATTAGCCGAGGTGCGGATGAGAGAGATGTCGTTATCCCTGGTGAACGGGTTGTACTGCGGGTGGGCGATGATCTGCTGGGTGTTGACCACGGTGCCGCCGCTGTTGGCGAGAGCTGATCCCACACGGGTTCGCCATCTGTTTATGCCAGATCCGCTGGAAAGAATAACGTATGTTTTGTTATATTTTTGACTAGCTTAAAATTTTACAAGTTTTTAATGTGGTTAAAAACGACTTAATTTTGTCAGTATCTTAGTTTTTTGTATGTAATATTGTATGAAACTCACAGAGTACAGTATGCAGCGGTGAGGATCACTCGTCTGCTAAGGATGGTGCCTCCGCAGAGTTGTCTATGGCCAGAGTTGGTGGCGGAGTACAGCAAGGAGGCCATCTCCGGGTACGCGGCAATGGTGGCCGCAGACCCACCAATGATCCTCGAGCTGGGGGCAGCTGGAATGATTTAGGATAGGAATTAAGATAAGCTTAGAAAATCAGATCTTCATATAACCATATTAATAAAGGTGCTTTAAAAAAAATTGTTGGAAAAAAATCTAAAACACCCGTTTTCATACAAACTTGAAAATTGAATAACTTGAAAAATATTACAGTTAGACCTCCATTTTAAGGCTTTTTCTCGATATTTTTTCATGATTTTGGGCGGTCACTTGCGCCTGGGCGACCTTGTATTATGCCCCTACACTATTGTACATACAATCGAATTTCAAGTCCCCAAAAGACAGGATTAGTTTGGGGACTTAATAATAAAGATTAAATACTTTACTTTTACTTCACGTTATATTGAGCTAATTTCAAAATGACCAAATTACGAACAAAGGGTGTTTGAAACTTTTATTCCTACAACCTTGAAATAAATTATCTCATAACGAAATTTATTGAATCTTTTCCAAAAAAACATCTTATGGACTAAGGCTCTTTTTCTGAATTGAGATTTCCAGCTTGTGGGTACTCGTCTTTGAAGATGTCAAATCATGTATCAAGGATACAGAATTTATTTAACATGAAAGGTTCATAGTTGCTTATAAAAATCCAAAAAGCGGGCCTTAAGGTTACACATGCTCATTATTTTCACGAAAGCATGCCACTATTGAGTAATCTCCACTTAGTGCATGTGTGTGGAAACATTGCCAATAATAAACATGCTCATATGACTTTTTATGAGGATACAGGATGTAAAACATATCGCCCCCCAAAAGATACTGCACTACGGTAATACTTAGATGCGCCTTCAAATTAGGCGTTTTCTAACGGACGTTAGTCGTCCGTTTGCAAGACTGCACCACACTAACTGTTGTCATAGAATTTCCATATGCGGTCCTGCAAACGCACGTCTGACGTCCGTTTCGAAACGCCTAATTTTAAAGCGCCTTAAGGAAAACAGTGGCGATCACAATAGATCGATACCGGCCACAGTGATACTAGGTCTTTCTAGAATATTACCTTATAGATATAGAATTAACACAACAAAAAAACCGTATCTTTAGCCTCTTTGATATAGAATCCTTCGTACCTGACACAGCAGCCAGCCCCACAATAAACAGTGACAGTACCGATGAAACACGCATCTTGACGGCAGCAAATGTATTGTGTATCTATCCACAAACTCACAACTATAAGTATTTATAATCAATAGATAATAAACAAAATCGGATGATTCACAATGATAAAATAAGGATAATGACTTACATTGAAAACAAGTTGATTAGAATTTAATTCTTTCAACCAAGATTACAGTGCCAAAAAGTGTATAAAGATTAGTTGTTTTTACACAGAAAAATAGGAAAATAACACGTTGTCATATAATCAGCTGCCTGAACGTGAACCTGATTGATAATGCCATTGATTTTTTCTTAACAAAAACTAGCTAGTTTTCGCACAATTGTATAAGTTGGAGTAGATTCATTTTGGGTAAACAATCACTATAAAGTAAGAGCACTTACACTGGTTAAAAAAGACTACTTGCAAGACAAGACGGATAATACTTTGTTGTTTGTTTAATGAATACAACTTATGTCAAAGGTCCTTAATTGTATTAAAGTAGAAAGTAATATTTAAAATATCTAATTTAATCACGAGTATGAAGAGCCTAAGTGGCACATACATAAATAAATAAATTAGTCATAATAATTGTCCTGGTAGATAATCAGTTACTTTTAAGATCATCATCATCATTTCAGCCACAGGACGTCCACTGCTGAACATAGGCCTCCCCCAATGACTTCCACATCGCACGGTTGGTAGCGGCCTGCATCCAGCGCCTTCCCGCTACCTTTATCAGGTCATCGGTCCACCTTGTGGGTGGACGTCCCACGCTGCGTTTTCCGGTACGTGGCCTCCATTCCAGAACCTTGCTGCCCCATCGGTCGTCAGTTCTGCGTAGGTACTATGTGCCCAGCCCACTGCCACTTCAGCTTGCTGATCCGTCGGGCTATGTCAGCGACTTTAGTTCGTTTACGGATCTCCTCATTTCTGATAACACCTCATATGAGGAGATAACACCTTACTGAAGAATTACAGACCCATCTCGCTTCTGAGCCATGTTTACAAGCTGTTTTCGAGAGTCATCACGAATCGTCTCGCACTTAGGTTCGATGACTTCCAGCCTCCCAAACAAGCCGGTTTCCGGAAAGGTTATAGTACCATAGACCACATCCATACGCTGCGGCAGGTTATACAAAAGACTGAGGAGTATAACTTGCCACTATGCTTGGCGTTCGTGGACTATGAGAAGGCCTTTGATTCGATTGAGACGTGGGCAGTGCTGCAGTCTTTCCAGCGGTGCCGTATCGACTATCGGTACATCGAGGTACTAAAGTGCTTGTACAAAAACGCCACCATGTTGGTCCGAGTACAGGAGCAAAGCACGAGGGCGATTCCTTTACAGCGAGGTGTAAGACAGGGAGATGTTATATCTCCGAAACTCTTCACCGCGGCATTGGAAGACGCTTTCAAACTCCTGGAATGGAAAGGATACGGCATAAACGTTAACGGCGAGTACATCACTCACCTTCGGTTTGCTGACGATATCGTGGTCATGGCAGAATCGCTGGAGGACCTCGGCACCATGCTCGAAGACCTTAATCGAGTTTCCCAACAGGTAGGTCTTCGGATGAACATGGACAAAACGAAGCTTATGTCGAACGTCCATGTTGCACCCTACCCGGTGTCGGTTGGGAGCTCGATTCTTGAGATTGTTGACAAGTATGTCTACCTCGGACAAACGATCCAGCTAGGTAGGTCCAATTTCGAGAAGGAGGTCAATCGTCGAATCCAACTCGGCTGGGCAGCGTTCGGGAAACTACGCAACATCTTTCGTCCAAAATACCCCAGTGCCTGAAGACGAAAGTCTACAACCAATGTGTGTTACCTGTGATGACTTATGGCACGGAAACGTGGCCCCTCACTATAGGCCTTATACAGAAGCTCAAAGTTGCACAGCGTGCTATGGAGAGGGCTATGCTCGGTGTTTCTTTACGAGATCGAATCAGAAATGAGGAGACTTAAGATAATACGCGGAAACATCCTTATTCATCAACAACTTGTCAGAAGTAATGCTTTAATGAATAATAAATATCTTCAAGACCTCATTTTATTGACGAAAATAGAACTTAAGTAGTTCTGTACACTAACTAGACGAAAAAATCTGTCAAACTGGGGCAATACATAACAATATTATTTACAATTTAGTTTTAAAATTACTCAATAATGCAAAAGATCGTTCGTTCGTTATCATTTATTATTTTATTGTCATGGCTAAATCTTATTATATCACAAAACCCTAGGCATTGCTAGTGATCCAAGCGGTGTAGTTGGATACGCGAGTGTTGACTCCAGGGAACTGAGGGGCTCCACAGCCAAGCCTCCAGGAGGTGATGCCGACGACCACGCGGCCGTGGAAGACTGGACCACCCTCGTCGCCATAGCACTGATCGCGACCGCCGACGTCTAACCAGCCGGCACACAGCATGTTGTCGGTGATGGCCAAGTTGGCCATAGCATACCGCTGTCTGCAGACGTTCAGGTTGACAGTCCACATCTGCACCTGCTGCAGCTGCTCGGTAACTTGTCCAGTTTGCTGCAATAAAAGTAAAATTCACATAAGCGGTCTTGTATGACTTATGGAATTTGCAACACCAATGAATCGTTTTCCCCTTGATCAGTAAACAGCCTTTTTCACTGGTATGAATGTGACTAAATTAAGGAGTGAGAAAGACTAACCCTAGGTTGTACCATCTCACTTTAACCATAACAAAAGTCAAAAGTCTGTCAAACTCCTTACAAAAACACCCGTTAAAGTTCAATTTAAAGTAAAGTAACTCAACTTTTGAGATTAGCTGTAATTTAAAGTCTCTGTGGTTCAAATATTTATTTTCCATGCCTCAATTGTTGACCAACTCAGGATTTATAGCTAAGGAAAAAGCCTGTCCCGATTTAAAGGTAATGAATGATATCCACTTACAGAAATACGGCCCCATCCCACAGCGATGACCGGCGAGTTGTCAGGAAGGACGTAGTTGGGTCCACTGATGCTTGCATCCATGACGTTGTTGTTGCTGGGAAGATTAGCCGAGGTGCGGATGAGAGAGATGTCGTTGTCCCTGGTGAACGGGTTGTACTGCGGGTGGACGATGATCTGCTGGGTGTTGACCACGGTGCCGCCACTGTTGGCGAGAGCTGACCCCACACGGGTTCGCCATCTGTTTATGCCAGATCCACTGGAAAGAATAACGTATGTCGTTATATTTTTGACCAGCTTAAAGTTTTAAGAGTATTTAAAGCTGTTAGAAACGAGTTAGTTTTGTCAGCATCTTCCTTTTTGTAAGTAACTTAATAATTATTGAGTATGAAACTGTTGGGCATTATGATTAGTTATCTTTGACTCAGAGGCTAACAGTATTAATGTCACGTGTTTAATATCTTGAAAGAAAACGCTCCCGCTCGTTACAGTGTTTGACAGTAATGTTCTCATCATTATTATCATCAGCATCGGGTAATAATTTGGTCTCTATTGCACAAGTACGACCCTCTAATTCCCCTGAGATCCTATATTTAACTTTGTCATTTAGTCGCCTTTCACATCCCCAGGGATGAGTGGGAGTGGTTCTATTGTCTGCACAAACCAAACAGCGTAGGTACTGCGTGTATGGCAGTATACATAATATTACTTGTATGACTGCAGGCACAAACTACTAATACTACCTGCATTTCAGTACATGTTTAACCTTACCGAGCGCAGTTTTAGGCCCCTCGCCCATGGTGACTTTTTAAAATGAGCTTTAGTCGCATTTGCAACGCGTTACAGAACTGATGCCAACCAACGCGCTACAGCATTGTGACATTCGCGACTGTTTCGATGCAAACACGCGACCGTGCACGTTTACATAGCGACAGAAGCACGATAGCATCGCGTTTGCATCACGACAAAAATCGTGTTTATGTGGGCGAAGGCACACAGCTAGCGATCGTATTGCGACTGTATCGCTACAAAAAATCGTAGTCTGTGGGCGAGGAACCTTAAGTAAATATTGTGTGAAACTCACAGAGTACAGTATGCAGCAGTGAGGATCACTCGTCGTCTGAGGATGGTGCCTCCGCAGCGATGTCTATGGCCAGAGTTGCTGTCGGAGTACAGCAAGGAGGCCATCTCCGGGAACGTGCCGATGGCGGCCGGAGACCCACCAATGATCCTCGTGCTGGGGGCAGCTGGAATGATTTAGGACTAGAATTCAGATAAGCTCATATATTCAGATATTACCAATAAGAGGGCTTTTAAAAATTATGTTTTTTTTTTGGAAAATGAATCTAAAAAATACAAACTTGAAAAGTGATGAACTTGAAAAATATTACAGTAAGACCTCCATTTTAAGGTTTTTTATCGATATTTTTCCATGATTTTTTAGAATATTTTGGGTGGTTACTTGCGCCTGGGCGACCTTGTATTATGGACCTTGTATATTATTACACTATCGTACACACAATCGAAGTTGAAGTCCCCAAAAGACAGGACTAGTTTGGGGACTTTTTAATAAAGGTTACTTCACTTTATATTGAGCTAATTACAAAATGACCCAATTACGAGTAACAAAGGGTGTTTGAAACTTTTATTCCAACAACCTTGAAATAAATTATCTCACAGTGAAATTCTTTGAATCTCTTCCAAAAAAGACCCTTTTTCTGAATTAAGATTTCCAGCTTGAACGTACTCATTTTTGAAAATGATTTGACTCAAGGATGTATTTATTGAACGTGAATATTTCATACTTCATTAAAAAAAAACCGGACCTAAAGCTACAGTTACATGCTTATTATTTTTACAAAAGCATACCACTATTGAATTGCCTCTTAGTGTGCGTGTGTCGAAACATAGTCAATAAACATGCTCATTTCGAATTGTTGAGCACGCTTTTTTTAAACATGCTAATAAGCATGACTTTTTATGAGCATGTGTGTCTGCACAGTCAGCGTCAAATTAGTTCGAGACTCCCAAAGTAGCCAATAAGTAGTCGCAGCACGTCTTTGTTACAATCGGAATAAGGTTCTGTTATCAACTTATTGGCCATCGTTGGTGTTACTATACTTATTTGACGCTGACTGTACCATATGCCCGTTTTCACCATCAATCCCTAATTTTTAAGTGATCCCTATGAAGACAAAATTCTTGTTATGTGTTACCATAGGGGTCACTTAAAAATTAGGGATTGATGGTGATAACGGGCATTAGTCACTAGTATAGAATATAGAAGACTTCGTACCTGACACAGCAGCCAGCCCCACAACAAACAGTGACAGTACCGATGTAACGCTCATCTTGTCGGCAGCAAATGTGTCGTGTATCTGTCCCCAAACTGGCTATAAGTATTTATATTCAATAGATAATAAAAAAACGGATGAGTCAAATTGATAAAATAAGGATAATTACTTACATTGAAAACTAGTTGATTAGAATTTAGAATTTAATTCTTTCCACCAAGATTAGAGTACCAAAAAGTGTATAAAGATTAGTTATTTTTATACAGAAAAATTAGAAAATAACGCATTATCATAAATCATTACTGAACGTGAACTTGATTCTTAAAACTTTTGATTGCTAGCGCCTATGTCAACTAGCTGTAGTTGTAGTGGTTGTATCACAAATTCACAATATTAAAGTGCGAGTAGATTCGTTTTGGGTAAAAAATTTATATGAAGTAGGAGTAATTGTGTAATTACGCTAAATAAAATTATAATAAAAAAAACTTTTTTTAAAAACAAGCTTTATTCTGTTAATAACAAGTTTCTTCTGCTGATAACAAGTTTTTTTATTATAATTTTATTTTACACTTTTAGTTGTATCTCAATCTGGGCCCTGGTCATCAATTTTTTATATCAATTAGCACCAAAGTGCTCGGGAAGACGAATCCAACGAACCTAAACTCGATATGTTTCCGCCGTTTCGTTTAGGAGTTCTTATGGCCACCTCCCAAATCCATCATCAGGACCCTGGACATCATCTAGCACTAAAGTGCTCAAAAAGACAAATCCAACGAACCCAAATTCGATGCGATTCCGCCGTTTCGTTTAGGAGTTCCTATGACCACTTCCTGACTCCACCATCAGACCAGCTCAATGGTACCATAACATTGCATTGTCATCGTACTTACATAGGTATACTCATCGGTTGAAGAGAACTGGTCTTAATTTCAGTTGCAAGATTTGTCCCACACATACTAACAAGTGAAGTCAATATAAAGCTTGTAATAAAAAGCTTGTAATAATAATAAAAAAGACTACTTGCATGACAAGACGGATAAATATTATTATAATATTGTTGTACCTAAATGCAACATGCATTGAATGCAACTTTTAATATAATAGTTCCTATCATAGAGCCTATTGTGGTAAATACAAAGTTACAGGAAATGTATGAATTCTAGGAATTGTATACAACTCCTAGGAAATGTATACAGTTCCTAGGAATTTTATAGAATTCTAATATCGTTTTAGGAAATGTATAAAACGAACGCTATGTGTGAAAAATAAGTAAAACACATTTATAAATGAAGAATGAGAGTTTTTATTAAGTGTATCATTGAGACAATATGTAACAATCATACAGTATAATATAATATCTTTACTTCTTACTAATTCTAGGATCAGAGTTTTTATTAAGGCTCTCATTGAGACAATCAAGTATAATATCTTCATACTTCTTGATTATTTAGGAAATAAAGTTTTTATTTAGACTCTCATTAAGACTTACAAGTTACAATCATACGGTAATTATATTATTTACATCCTAGGAATTGTATACAATGACGGATTTCATACATTTCCTGTAACACATACATTAATAAAAATATTAGTCGTAATAATTATCCTCATAGATAATCATTAACTTTTAAGATATTACGTGGAATCATCCTTATCCATTAACAACTTGTCAGAAGTAATGCTTAATGAATGATAAATAAATATCTTCAAGGCCTTATTTTATTCATGAAAATAGAACATAAGTAGTTCTGTTCACTAGCTACACTCAGCGTCAAATAAATCGCACCTCTCGTGACAATAGGGATGTCTCCTGGATAAAAAAACAAAAGTTTTAATTAGTCCGTCAGTTAGCTTATCAAAAAATACTCGACACGTATTTTTCACTTTTTCAAACTAATGAAAATGTAAAGAGAAAAAGCGTACCAAAGTTCTAAAGAAAAGGCCCGTGACGTCAATGAGTGCGTAAAAGTGCAGCACTTTGTGACGTCGCGCGGAACTTCAACGCACTATAACTTTGTAATTATTTGTTTGATTGACAATTAAAAATATGTGTCCAATATTTTTTATATTAAAATAGACCGACTAAAAAGTTTTTTTTTAGGAAACTAGCCTATTACTTTCGCTTTAACATTTTTTTCTAACACAATTGGTGTAATTACAAATCCCAATCAAAATGAACTTAAAGAAAAACACATTTCATTTCTTAAAATAAACGATTAACATGTATCATAAATGTGACTTGAAAAAAGTAAATGTGCCTCACCTCTGGGACTATTTAGACCAATTTTTGTGGTTATAAAACCAAATAATGATCTTAACGTTTCCTATTCAACAGATGGATAGCGATTAATCCCAATTTAACAGTTTTATATCCATAAAACTTGGCTCGAGCGTAAAAGAGACACAGGATCCTTCTAAAGACACATTTTTAGGGTACCACTGCCAACCTTTCCTTTAGTGAAATAAAGCTTCTAAACTAACTAAGCTTTCGAATGATACCAATATTGGTGGGAAGTGGGGATGCATACGCTTGAAAGTGTTTGTCGCGGGAGGTGCGATTTATTTGACGCTGAGTGTAGATGAAAAAAAGATAAGAATTAGGTAGCAACAGTCAATGGAAGATATAGATAGGTACTGTTGGAAACTAAAGGACTCTACATATCAAGCACACGTGTAATATTTTAAAAACATTCAAATACCTATCTACTTCAAGTTCGGTTGTGTCAGCTGTGTCAAACTATAAACTTTACGACAAACGTGACCTACAAAACGAAAGAACGTTCTTGTCGAGTCATCAGGTAGACTCAAGCTTACAGTGTGCCCCACCTGGGAATCAAACGTGGCCGATTGTAACCAACCTCTAACCACTAGTAAGGTTCTGACAGAGCCGCAAGATTATGAAATAGTCAATTTTTTAATGAAACTAGGTTATATTGCTCTCAAACAAAAGTCAAAAGCAATATTATTTTATTCTTACCAGTATTTCATGGGTTCGCTCTTTTCTATGTAAAGATTTTTTTAAATGTCTTTATTCAACTAACTTCCATGTCCACGGTAGGTAAAGTTACTATATCGGCAACTTAAAAATATCTTAAACCGTCATCAGCCCACCTTAAAAACATGAAAGAATAGAACTGTCAGTTTATTTGTACCTATAATATTTAAAGAATTATCCTCCAACTCCTAAGCGTTAAGGACACACTAGTTCATCACTATGAGATGATGACTACCTGATGAAAACACTTGAATAATTTTAGAAACTATACATACGAGTATCTATAAAATTACTAATTACTAGAAGGCACTAGTTGTTTTTCAATTTTCGTAGCATACGTAGTATGTGTATATCTATGAATATTATAGATTAACAAACGATTCATAAAAAACCTATAGAATTAAAGGCAATCACACTTCCAGATGTAATTGCTAATGTTTCTTCCACAATATTATAAATCAGAAAAGCAAAGTAAGTACAAAATCTAGAAACTGGTATATTTTATAATTATCACTAGCTTTCGTAGGTTAGTTGTGATGAATGATTTCATACATAATATTCCTTTAAAAAACTCATAACTCATTTATTTGTGCAAGTAGGCTTTTAGAAAACACTTTTACACGTCCCAGTATTAACCCTACCACTGCTTCAGGACAATAAATGGGCCAGTGCTGCGCAAGAAACTCAGTCAATTTTATTTTATTTTCCGGCCTTTCAGTTTTACTGTATCCGAGACAAAAACGTACAACTTAGCTACTTAATCCAAAGGAAGTAAAGTAAGTAACACAGCTACTTAATAAGTAGTGTTAAGTACAAGTGTTTCCTACGTAGTTAGGTACTAAGTAACAATGCAACCGCCTATTGATTCTCTTCCAGTGTTCCTCAAGTTGCATTACTGAAACTGCTTGTTATTCAAATAAGTTCTAAGTTATATGAAAGTGTAGTGCTTGGTTCAACTTCGAGGCAACGCTAAACTTCTTGCTGGGAGTTCTGTTTCAATTTTGCTTCCTCGCTCCGCTAGCTTGCAGTGTTTCATATACTAAGATTTTGATGCGTACGCCAATCTATAGAATACATTTTATTTATTTGTATATCCTTTCATTATAATATAAAAATAAATAAAATAAAATTTACTGTTTCTAATTAACAACTTCTTATTAAATCCATTTAGTATTAATAACAAAACATGTTATATTCATATTTGTTTTGTTCTGATAGTTGTTAGTCCACATCTGATTGAACCAATTTTAACTGAGATCTTTTTGTGGCGCAATGTCTAAAGGTATTATAAAATGTATTTTTGTACGAACGCTTCTGCAAAATATAAATAAGTATAGTTCTGTACATTCTCCAAACTTATCTTCAAATTCATAGGTTAAATATATACTATTTAAAAATATATTCGTGTGGCAGAAAGGAAAAATATTGCAGATATAGATACAAGAGATAACGATCTTCAAATTGGACTAATTTATAGCTACACTAACGGGGTCAATAACTGAATGCAATCATGTGAAAATTATCGGATAGATTATCTTTTTTATTAGTTTGTTTTGACATTTATTGTACCCACTTACTGCACTTACCGATATGTTTGTGGATATGTGAGTTTAATACTTTTTATACATTTATAAGTTGAGTACTTAAATTGTTTGTGTGTTTTCCTATCGTGTGAAAAAATCTTTGCTGCTTAGTAGCAGGGATACATTAATAAATAAAATATTGTGCTTATTGCAAAGCTTCATTGCTTTGTAATGCCTATTGGCTAGCTTCGAATATGCTCTATGGGACCATAGAATACAATATCAGTTCAGTAGGTATCTAAATAATGATTGTTGACACAAAGCATGAAAAAATTACTATTACCAAATTGTATGAAACTTCAAATTATGTACCTACTGTATCTGACCCGCCAAAAGTTTTATTAGAGTGCGATCTAATCACGCACCGATTCCATAATCAGAAAACTTGCCCAAGTAAAAAATCTTCAGAATGATTAAAAATACAAATTGGCTTGCAGATAAGTACGTTACCTAAACCATTCGTGGAAAAAATGGATGTGACTTCACACAACATTGGAAGGTTA